AATTCTGGACCAAGGCTAATTGGATAGTGAGAAGGGCTGGCAATCTGTGCTTGCGGAGCTGCAGAACCATCACCTTAAGGACTTCAAAGGGCTGAATCTCAAACTGTGGTGGGCTTGGATTCAAAGCCTCAGTTTCCACAAGGCCACCCACCCACATGCCTGAGCAGTGGCAGAAGGTGATCATCTCTACTTCGGCTGAAGCACTTGGCCAGAAAATGGTCACTGATTAGCACAGATAGGACAAGGGAAAGGAGGCAGAGAGTGTCAGTCAGGGAAAGGATGGGAAAAGCATTTCACAGGTGATCCAAACAGGAGTCTTGACAGCACAATTTTAAAAAGAAAGGAAAAATAAACAAATGAACCAGAGCACATTTTTGCAAGTACCCACTTCTTAAATCACTGTGGTGATCATAACCTAAGTAATAACCTTACTCCTTATAAAAAAATTGATTTTTTTTCTCTACATAATAGTAATGACCTCTTCCAGCAGGATTTCTTCTAGCTTGTAGAGTTAATAATTTTTTTTTCCTGGATTCTCTGAATTACAAATATAAGGCACCTGGTATGATTGAGTGGGAACGTTTTACTCCATCCAGTGTGTTGTTGTTGTTGCTTTAAATCGTTCTCTCCTCTTCCCTCTCCACTGGCTCCTCAGACCTGCGACAAAAGGAAGCGCCTGCTGCGGGACCAGACAGGTGGTGTCCTGGTGGTGGAGCTGTCCCTGCGGAGTAAGCCCCCATTTCCGTGGTTGCCTCCATCTGGGCTGCGTCCACAGGCACGGCCGGTTTGAGCATTTTCACTGAATTGCCAAACCAGGTGTGCCTGTGGACACAACTCTCACCTGCGTCTTCCGGCAAGCGGTGAGAGGAAGCTCATGCCAAGTGAAGGAGGTTTGTTGAGTACTGTACCCTGCAAAGTTCTATTCCCAGCCCAAAGCCAAATGCCCCTCAAGAATTAGGAAGTGCTGAGCTTCCACACCATGCACACAGTGAGCAAAAGTAAGAGAAAATGCGATGTTCTAAGAAAGTCAAGTACAAGTCAATTAACCTTTGTAAAGCATTCAGCCCTGCCTGGCCTGAGCTGTGCACTGGAGTTTGGGCCAAACAAGACCACAGGGGACCTACCCTCAAGGAACGTGCCATCTAGCAAGGGCAGAGATTACTGTTCAAATGGCGGGGTGGCCAAGGTGATCCCAAAGTATGTGGCAAGGAAGTTCAGCTCCATCCAGGGCTATGGAAGACCTCTGTGGAAAACGATTACAATGAGCAGAAGGCTGGTATGACCTGAGCATGAGCCAGATCCATGGAGAGGCTGGGCTTTGGCCTGGATTCCTGGGAGCATAGGCCCCGGCTACCTGCTCATTTTGTGTAACCTGCAAGCTTAAAAAAGAAAGGTTTACCATTTGTATCTAAAAAAAATTTTTTGTAACACATAAAGTCATATGAAATTCAAGTTTCAGGCCTTTACATTTTTATTAAAATCCAGGCCTGCTCATTTAAGCAATACAGTATTGTCTACAGCTGTTCACACTACAATGAAAGTATGGACTTGTGGTAATAGAGACTGTAAGGCTCAGAAAGCTGAAAGTATTTACTAACTGGTCCTTTCCTTGAAGTTTCACTAATCCCTGCCTCTAGAGAGCCCAGGAGAAGACGCTGTGAGCTGACACCTTTGAAATCTTCAGTATACACTTTGTCCTACCCAAAGGCAACAGGGCGCTCACGGTGGGAAATCGGGGGCTGGTGGGATATGATCGGGTTTGTGTTTCAGAAATGTAATTCTGAGACTTCCCCTTCCATGATTTTCCCTTAAAACCCACATTCTCTCTCTCTCTTTGCTCACTCCAGGCAGGGGATTTCCGAGTCTCTATAGTTTCTCAGGTAAGGAGAAAAGACATTTCTGGGAAATGTCATGGGCAGTGCTTTTGTAAAGCAGATATTTGTTTCAAAAGATGGCCCCGGAGAACTTTAAAGAACTGAAAATTATGCTTTAAATCTCACCTGTATGGGACAGAGGTAAGGGGGTCTCTCTCCGTGCAGCCCCCAGGCCCCAGAGAGAGGGGCTGAGAGTCAGCTGGGTGAAGGAGAGCCGGACCCCACCCCCTCAGTCTCAGCCAAGCCATCATCAGGTGGCTCAGCTCAGAGTCCTACACTGGAGAACATGAATCTTCAATGATCTGTTCATTCAACAAATATTTGAGTCCCTGTTATGATTCTACTCTGTATTAATTAACTGAGCAACGACCTTACCTCTCCTCTGTGAAGTTGGGGTAATAATTGCTTGTATTACATATGGTCCTATACAGATTGTTCAATTACAGTTAAAGGCTCTGAACATAGCCAGGCACACAGCAAGCAACCAGTAAGGGTTGACCATAGTTATGAGCACCAGGCACTGTCGTAGGCAATGTGGCTACTGCAGCGAATAGCACAGGAAAGGTTCTGGCCTTCCTAATATGTGTGGTATATAGGGCCAGGACATGATTTAGAGTGTAGGCAGGGAAGCCTCTCAGAGGAGGAACCATTTCAGCTCAGCCAGAAGACCTCACTGGACTGCTGAGAAGGAAATGACTATGCAAGGAGTTGGAGTATGAGCTTCCCTTGATTCACAAGCTCACAGATGCAGACGTTGCTCTCATCACTAAAGGAAAATCATGTAAATCAACTTTTTAAAGTCCAATTCTAGATGCTTATGTTTAAAGGAAGTCCTATAGCAACAGCCCTACAGGGAGATGCGCCATTACTGATGATCCAAGTTCAGACGCCCACTTGCCAGAGGTCCACAAGCTAGATTTGTTGGTCAGGTCCTTTGTGTTGATAAAAGTGAGCTATAGACTCCCCAGGGGATGAGCAAAAATGACTTAGCATAAAATGTGCAGAGCTTCATGAAGAGCCACTTAAGACCCATGCATTGACAGGTTGTGTTGAATCTGGTTGGGGAGTCCTGGCCTTCGTACCACTGTTTCTCAGTGCTATTTTCACCCTTCTGCTTTCCAGATGTCCTCTATCACCTCCTCCTGATGCTGGGGATTTGTGCTGTATTGTAGGAGTTAGCCAGGCAGCTGCAGCTCCTGCCCCAAGGTCGTCCTCAGCAATGACAAATTTGTTTATTGTGCTGCCAAAAAGAACAAACAGCAGACTACACTGTTGGGGAGCAAAGGATAGCGCTTTGCCAAATATGTGTTCCGGTGATTTTTGTGAATTCAGCGATCCTTACCCTTTGGTGTCCCACTTCCTCTTGCTACTTCCTGTGGTCCTGGATCCTGACAGCACCTCCCCATAGCTGGGGGAGGAGTCTTCTTTCTCAGACTCAAGTCAAGGAGACAGCAGACTCCTTTGAAAGTTAGTCTAACCTTAAAAGACTCGCACACACAATGAAGTGCAGCTGAGCATTTTGAGGAGAATGTAGGACATAAGAACAAAGTCAGTGCTAAATACAGATGAATAGCCAACGTTGCCCATGGAAGGCTTTGTCTTGAGGCTGTGCAATTCTACCTAAGGATCAGAGCTGAGCCCCCTGCAAGGGTTTCCAATCTTCACTGATGTGGGAATCAGAGTGGAATGTGATAATTTTGCTCAAAGCTGAGTAAGAGAAAGGAAATGGATTCTTGGGAGTCACTACTACTAACCTGATTTGTTTTTATTTTAATGTCTCAAGTATATCCAAATATTAGGTAGATGTAAACTCCTTATTCTCTTATTTGATATGTACTTTTAAAAATGAAAAGAAAATTACTAACTAAATATGGAGAAAGCTACAAATGGAACAAAATTCACATTCATTTACTATAATACTGTGGCATTACCCACATGAAATGCTGCCTACCACATAGACTACGGAAAGACCTGCTCCACACAGGCTATCTGAGCTTGGGAACGTGATCCTACTACACGCCTGTGACACGTAAAACTCTCACAACGATCCCCTCTTTGCTCTATTAAGAGATCTTCTTTGTAATGAGTGATCTGACCTCAGTTGCCTTTAACTAAATATTCAAGTCAATATCTGGTCCTGTCTCATCAACTTGTGTTCCTTAGAATGGAACCAACAAAATTATCAGAAACACAAGTGCAAATACAGCCAATGAAATCACTTGGTAGTATGCCCTCCAAATGGGGCCACCTTCGTGATCCAAACAGCATCAATAATTTACATTTGTCCACCCACTAAAAACGGAATGAACCAACCTTGGTGGAGAATTGGATAAAAGCATGATGGGACACGTCCGAGTTCTATGCTTAGTCATAGGAAGACTTAATTAGTGGGCTCAGAACCTGAAGTTAAATGCTAGTTTATCTCTCTTTATTTAATGTATTTGAGAAGGTTTGATATCTTCAGTTTGGTAGTTCTTTACAACTTGTGTTAGTGAAGTCAGAGATTGAACTAGTTATCGAATCTCCAGAGACAGGAGATTAGCCATAGCCTAGAGTAGGATGACTCAATGCATCTACACTTGCTCTGTAAGCTGATACTCCACCAGCTTGGGAACTCTCTCTTCTGTAAACTCAGATTTTTTATAGCCAAGAAAGACAGAAGACGGATTTTATTGGTTTTAGTCTAAAACTCCTAAATAGCTTACTTATAGCCAAATCTCTCCTTGCCTATCAGACTAAAACAACGTCATATTAGCTTGGTTTTATTTTATCACTATATTTTATGATCCTGTATCTCCACCTGGTGCAATGGAATAAATAAAATGTTTTAAAGTAAATAACCTCTCACTGCAGTTTACAGTGTTAATATATCATGTTGAAAGCCAATTCTTCAACCGTGTCAGGCGCTTCTGCAACCAGTATTCATAGACTCACACTTATACCGCAGACTTTCAGTTGTTTTGACCTGCATTTCCACTCCAAATATTCCATGCAAGGGGAAAAGCCATTCTGTATGACTATGATTTGGGGGAAAGGTCTCTTGTCTATACAACCCTAATTCCCTTGCCAGCAACTGGATGTGTTTTGGCTTAAGATAACAAAAAGCTCCACAATGTTTGATTGCCTTTCCTGTCTTATAACATTTTTATTGAGGGATTAAGATAAAGCATCCTCAAAATAATCTCTTGTAAAATCTTCTTAGTGCTAAAAATAAAACAGACATTAATAAGAGGAGAATACATACATACAGTCTCCCTTAGGTATCCTTGGTTTACAAAGAAAAAACACTGGATGTAGAGTTTAGGAAACTAAGCTTACCAAAATTCCTGGTGTCTATCCCTAATACTCTGTCACTCTGGCACTACACCCCACCCCATGTGTGCCACTGTTATGTATATGTGTGTGTGTGTGTGTGTGTGTATGTGTGTATGCATGAGTGTCTGTATATACATATGTGTGTAAGTTTCATGTGTGCATTTGTGCTAAAATGTTCAACGAAGAAGGCAGAATTAAAATCTGTATTATATGAAGACAACTTCTGCAAGCATGTGGACTAGGGCTGGAAAGAAACACACACACACCTTTAATACGAATACAGAGATGAGATAATGATAGACAATTAACTCACCCAAGTCCATCTCTGTATCTGAATATTATTTTCAAATATGCATTTCATGTAACACTACTGGATTGCTTGATTACTTTACTTATGTTCACAGATCTGTTAGTCTCTAGTCCTGCATTCCTGCTGCATCCTCTCCCATCTAAATTGTGAGATAAAGATCAAGAAATGTTGCATATTCTCTTGTGCCTCCCCCCAGCGTGGAATAAATCCTTATTAAATGCCTCTTGAATTAATGAAATGTTCAGATGGATGGATGGATGGATGGATGTGGATGGCCTATCTCTTTAAGAGTCCTCATAGCAGAGGTAGACATGTTCTTTCACAGTTGACCAAAGTATGTGGGATCCAGAAGCCAGGATCCTACACAAAGGAAGAAGGTACAGAAAATGAAGAGATAAACTCCGGCCTGTTGTCTCCATGCTGAAGCAGAAGGGAAAAGTGCCTGGGCACCCCTCATGTAAATGCTTTCTTCCATCCCTCCTTCTAAATAAGCCTCAAGCTGTCAGTCCTGGGTGCTGAGGGCCTGTGGGGAGGAGCAGAACCTGTCACAATTAAAACAGAACTGTATTCAAGAAACAAGTCTGTGAGAGCTGTGGAATTCACTCTTGAGATGCAGGGGAACAAAATACTGCAAATGGGGGTGCTGGGCGCTCAGTAAAGATGGGATGATTTGGGAAAGTGCTTCTCCCAGCCCATTTCCTGAAGAAAAAGCAAGAATCCACCATGCTTTTTGTTAAAATCTGGTATCAAAGTCCTCCAATAGATCAGAAGGTAGTTCATTTCCTAATGCAGGACTCAGAAACATCTCCACAAAGGCAGACCTGAGGGCCAGAAAGAAAGCAGACCTGACCTAACTGGTCTCATTGGTTCTCACTTCTTCAGTCATGGGAGGTTCAGCCCCAAAAGATCTCATTCCGATTGCCTTGCCGTATTCAGGAGCAACCGCGTGGAAGCTATCTGGATGCGAGGAGCTGCAAGGGGAGAAGAAAGAAGTACTGTAAATGCACCACTGGGTCAGTAAATCTATTCAAAGAACTATTGAATAAAACAACATGGAACCAACTCTTTGTATAGAGGGAAAAACTCAGAGGAATAGATGGGCTCTTTGTTGGGAATTTTTTAAATTAAATTCTTCATAAAAGAATGAAAAATTCCTCTTAAAACTCAAGCTTTGACTGCATGAGTTTTTGTTCAGTGTACAAGAAGGAAATTAGACAATAAACTGAGCTCAGGACATTATCCATTTGAAACTGCTCACAGGAAGTCAGGGCTTGGGTTCAGGCTTTCTAACACGGCAGTGGGTCTGTCTTCCTGTAGTGGTCTTCTCCATGCTGGGACTGCTCACACCTTTGAGCTTTTATTCTGAGCACTTTCAGGGGTGCCTTATGATTTGGGTTCCTTTTCCCTTGCCAGCTGATTTGCTCATAAGGGAGATAAGCGCTCAGGTCAGGGAGCGGAGTCTCACAAGGAGAAGCAGGATGGTCCGTGTCTTCTCCTGTCCCTTTGCCCAGATGATAGGAGTTCACCATAAATTCACAAGTTACATGGCGGAAATTTCCAGCAGCTAGAACAGACTCACTAGGCAGTCTCCAGAAAATGAGTTCACGGTACACACACCCCACTCACTCACCCGCTTCCCCTCCACCCCATCTAAGGACAGTGCTGGAGGAAAAGCTGGTAGAAAGGCTGTGTGGATGAGGAGGCCAGCCGATGGCACCCTCTAGTGGGAGACTGACTCAACCTCAGAATTACACCTCTTCTCCCCAAAGAGGGAGAACCCCAGAGGCCTTCATGAGACATCATAAATGTCTTGCAAGGAAATACCCACCTCACAAGATCTCCGGGACTTTAGCTTCTTCCTCAGTAAACTCAGGGAGCGGAATCATGAAGCCTTCTTTGCCTTTCAGCCAGAAAGTTATTTGTTCTCCTTTGCCCTGTGGGAGGCAAAGGGGCAGCTGGTGAATCCACAGAGCAGGAGCTGCCCCGGAAGCCTGGCTGGTGGGCCTTGCTGGCCAGGACAGCAGCAGCTGCTCCTGTAAGGGACAGCCCTCCTCACCCATGGAATCTTGGCGATTTTCTTGGGCTGTGCTGACTTGCCTAGATGGACAGTCAGTCATGCCCTGCGGGGGAGGGCCAGTGGAGACTAAAACCAGGGAGTTGCAAAAAATCTTTTAAGCAGTAATAAAATCTGCTGAACTCTAGTATGAGCTGCGCACGCACTGCATCACTTCCTGTACCTGGTGACACCTAATCCTTACTTCCAGCATTATCATCATTTCCACTGTACAGACCACAACACCAGCTTCCACAGGTGGACAGCTACAAGCAGCGGGGCAGGGCCCCAGGGCTAGGTCTACACCGCTGCCTTCTCCATAGTCCTCTTCTCTCCTGAAGTCAGGGGCTGGGACCCGGCGTCCCAAGGCCGAACTCAGCAAACCAGGGAGCTGAGGCCCTCCCTTGTCTTTCACTTCTCCTTGCACCATGGTGACCCCCACTGTCCCCATGTGCACACCTCCAAGGTGTCCCTGAGAACATCTGGAGAGGGGCAGGTGCTCCTGTCCAGGGAAGGACAACGCTGAGGGAATGATGACAGTGCATTGTGGTGCCTCCCAGGACAGGGTGAGGCCAGGCTGAGCGAGAAGGGAGAGGAAACGGGATGGAGAGAGACGAGATACTACTAGTATCCCGAGGCCAAGCCAATGGGCTTCTGTCCCTTCTACCGGGCACTTTAACCAAGGTGTGGGGACACAGACAAAGGGTGGGCACTATAATCTCACTGCTCTGTGTGGCAGATAAGAGTTCCAGTGGAAGCTATGAGACCACTGGTGGCAGAGACAGGAAGCGTCCCATCAGGGGTCGTCTGGGTGTTTCCTGTGGGCCAGTCCATGTGTGGGCCTCCGAAGAGACTGCACGGACTTCTCCAAAGGAAAGAGGCCTGACAGACAGAACTTCCAGAGACGCCCAACGGGTCTTCACGCGCCACTGCACGGACATTCATTTCTCCTGCCAAACCCTTCAACATCTCCACAAGGCACACAAATGAGGCAGGTGAGGCCCTGGGGCCTGGTCTTACCTTGACCAGAATGGTGCCTCTCCTTTGCAGATGGTACCCTCCCATGGCCAGCAGGGCGCCCGCAGTGCTTTGAGAGACATGGATCCGGAGAGCTGCCATAAACCAGTCATCGTCTTGTTATCCCACTGTCATTGAGCTGTCAGCGGGGAGGGGGGCTGCTTCCGAAGGGGAAGCTACCTATTTATATTTTTTGATTCCCCAGAGCCTCTCATTAAACAAAAAGTACAAGCAATGGCTGAAACCTGGGACACCAGCCAGGTATTTTTGGGCCTGCTCAAACTGCACGTCCAGTTTCCAAGCAGAAAGCAGCACTGGCTCAATATCTAAGTTGGCAGTTCCCGAGGATGGAGGCTCCCCAGGCTCCCCAAGCTTTCTGCGTAAGCGGGGACATACTACTGAATAATGTTCCTTGCAACAAGAAACCCAAATAGAATCAGGTTTGGAGGCTACATAAGCAACCGTCTTTCAACTTTGTTCTGAGAACGTTTCCTTATAAGAGGAAGTTTAAATCTGTGTTTGAGACTTGGTGGATTGACTTAGGCAAAAAAAGAATCATAAGGGAAATTATGTGTACATTTTTATATCTTGTGGGAAATCTATAAATTTGAAACTGTGTGAACCTAAACTCTTTCAAACTGAATTACTGAGCATTTTTTTTTTCTCCACGTCAGGATGGATAAATAGCATATATGTGTCTGGCAAAAATCAAGGCAAAAAAGTTACTACAAAGCAAAAGATTGCACTGTTTGTTGGAGTTACTGGTCATAGAGGTTTTTGTAAGCCCAAAAATGGACCATACATCAGGGATGGGAAAAGTAGTACACTCCACTGTTTGTGTTTGCAAATAGGATTTTATTGGAACATGCCTGCACTGTTTTTCAGCTACCATAGCAGAATTCAGTAATTGCAACAAGCTCTGTGGCCCGTAACGCCAAAAATGCTTACTGTCTGTCCCTGTTCTGGAAAAGTTCTCCCACTCCTGCTCTTGGTTTAAATTATTCTATTATGTGTGTGTATGTTCAGAATGAAAAGTCTTGGGGGGAGGTAGGTGTGTTTACATTACTCCAATAGAGCAGAATTCGAAACCCTGGCTATACACCTTGCGATCGATCCTTGTCGGCAGTGAATCATGATCTTATCTCCCAGATGGAAAACAAGAGAAAAATGCAAACGAGTCTTCTAAAAATACTCTCTGGTTAAAGATAGGGGCCTGAGGGACAGCGATATTGGGTTTACAGAGTGCTGTAAACAACACCCACGCAAACTGCTGCTTTCCATTCTGGATGCCATGTTCACGGTGTCACCAAATAGACAGTATCTGGGCATGGTGATTCCCACCACGCCAGCCACCACAGGACCTGAGGACACAAGAACCAAGGGGTGTAACTGGCTGCAGGGAGCCCACCAACTCAACAAAGGCAACTCAACAATTATTCATTAAGTTCCTGTTGGGGCAGAGCTTGCCCATATGTCCTACTTTACAAAGAGACAACCTACAGACCCACAGGCTTCTGAGGGGAAGCAGCACAACCAATTAATGACCATGTTTATTCATGAGCTAGAGATATACACAAAGCCTACAGTGGTACCAACATGGAAATAATTAATTCTGATTGGAAGTCAGATTTTATTTCAGTGAGACCTGAAAGATAAATTTGAGTAAGACACTGGCTACATAATTTTCAAGATCCAGGGCAAAATAAAAATATAGGACTCTGTTCAGAGAGTATTCAGAATTTCAAAACAGTGACAGAAAAGTATTAAATCAAGTAGGGATCACTTCTGCATAGGCCATATGCCCAGGAATTTAACAAAAATAGAACACATCAAAGGGCACTTGATACAGACACATGGAAGAAAAGTAGCCCAGTACTGTCCTAGTTTTTGTTCTTCCTCTTATTTTTGGTTGAACATCTTGGAGTCACTGTGTGTCCTTGATCACACCAAGCAACCTACCTGACTGGAAGTATACATGCAAGGGCAATTTTTGATCCCCTTGACATTCTTACCATTCAGTGATGGTTCCTAAAAGCCTTAGCCCTGGGTCTCAAACCCACAACTACCTGCCGCTATACCTGGGCCATAAGGTCACCTGGAATCAGTTCTGACTACCTGTATGGAGGCCAATCCGGATCTTGAGCTTCTCCTCAGGCATGTGCCCAATCTGGAAGTGGAGGGTGGCACTGAGGAAGTGCAGGGCCATGGTGGCAATCTGGTCAACGTGTTGGGTCCCATTGCGGATGGGAAGTCCGCTAGCCACCATGTAAGCATCTCCAATGGTTTCCACCTGAAAATAAAGCAAGAAAATTTGCTTTCCATGAGGGAGGCGGTGGGCAGAGAGTGGGGATGGGGCCATAGGTCAAAGCTTCTTATTGTTTATCCCTGCCTTGAGGCACCATATTTGAAGATTCACACTTGCTGACTGCCACCCCATCCATGTCCCAGCATTTCCTCAAGTCCATATTCTCATTCCACCTCCTCCAAGAAGCCTTCCTTCCCTGAGCCCCGCTCCTCATATAGTAGAAAATGCGCCCCCCCACCAGCCAGTGTACTTCAGTTTGTTAAGCGCCCAGGTAATAGTTCTTGTTCCAGATCTGGTTGCTTCTGTCTTTTAGAAATGGCTGGTCACTGTGACGCACATTGTGTAAACCAATCCCCCAATTGACAAGTTATTCTGCTTCTGTACCTCCTGCTTGCTTATCGCATGTAAGCACTCAACCACCAGAGATCGGGGCCTGATATTCAAGAATGATCCCAATCAGTGCCCATTGATGTAAATAAATCTGCCTCCAAATCCTGGGTGTCCTTTCAGTGTTTCTGCTTGCTGTTGTACTCACAGCCATTCACATCCTAAAGCCAACTGTGGAGGTGACCATATTTCCCTGCCAAGTTCAGAATCAGTGAGCCAGCCCTGGGCTGATGGCACACATCTCAAAGGGTCAGGTGGATCCACCAAGGGGATGCATCCTACCCAACCCGAAGTGTCCTCACCCCACACCAGGGCTCTCACACACGTTTATAGATCTGTACACATGGTGCATCACACAAAATGTATTCATTTAGATGAATCAAAACACAGGCATCTTCTTTATCTGTCTTCTTCTCCCTGAATCCTTCTAAAAGCAATTTTCAGGTCCTTCATTCACAATACAGAAATAAATGACAATCAGAAGCTTTAATCCTTTCCAGATATAATCATATTTAGCAGAATCCAAAGATGACACAGGAAGGGTGGACCTTCAGGCATCACCAGGTAGTCAGGACACTTGTGTCCTGCTGACCCCCAAATTACAAAAAAGTCAACTATTCAACAAGCCCAGCCTGCTTCTAGGATGCCTCTCCCAGCACAACAGCATTATTTAGAAATATAAATTCCAATGCTAGCATCACTGAGAGGGTAACTGGGAAAACCCCAGACGATGCTGTCCCAAGCAGAACAGGTGCTGGTTGGGTTGGGAGGGGATCTGCTCTTAAAAACCACCCACATGTCCTGTCTTTCACCCTGGAACAAGGCATCTTGTGGAGAACATTGAGGGATACATTGAGGACCTGTCACTGAACATTATGGCCATACTGTCACCCAAATTTTGCTGGTCCCAGAATGGTGGGCAGAGGCAGAGTGCTGGCTGCTGGGGCACCTGCCCCCAGGCACGTGTGAGTGTAGACACATGGCACTGCCCCTGGGACCGTGATCTGACCCCATTTAAACTGTCAGAAAACTCCTAAAAGTCACCAACACTACTACCCAAACAAAGCCTGATTCTCTAAATTTTCTATTAGTACATGTTTGCAGTATGTAGTGGTTAGGTTAATCTCAGGGAGTTTGAGAGAAGGGGAAGATCAGCTGACAGAAGTTTAATGACTCTTTTAAAATGTGTTTACTAGCTGGACATGGTGGTGCATGTTTGAGCCACGACTCAACAACTTAGCAAGACCCTCTTTCAAAAATAAAAATAAAAGCAGCTGGGGATATAGCTCAGTGCAAAGGCTGTAGGTCTGGCCCCCAAGTACTGCTAAAAAAAAAAAGTGTTTACTGTGAGAATAAAATAACAGAAGGAAACAGGCTAACATGCAGGGCACAGCCAGCAAAGAGCATGTACTCCTGTGGAGCCAGGGTCTCTCACCTTGTACACATCGTAGGTTTCAATGATGCGATCAAATAAACTGTACAGGTCATTGAGGAGTTTCACCACTTGCAAGGGGGAGCTGAAGGAACACAGCTTTGTGAACCCAACGATGTCGGAGAAAAAGATTGTCACAGACTCAAACAATTCCGGTTCCACAGACTTTCCAGCGATGAGTTGTTCTCCAATGAAGCTAAAACCAGAGAAAAGATCCCGGTTTTTTGTTTTTGTTTTGCGGGGTAGCGGGGAGAAAGTGTTTTTCTTGTTTTGTTTTGTTTTGTTTTGTTTGGGGGGGTTTGGTGCCTGAAATCAAACTCAGGATCTCAGGGAAAGATCATTTTTAACAGGACTTCACTTCTGTCACCTACAGACACCCCTCACCCCACCCTGCCAAGTTGCACTGCCAAGACACCGGCTACAAGCGTCAAGTTGCATTCAGAGGACACATTTTACTTGGTGCCTGTAAACTGGGGGAAGGGACAGGCAGCAGGTCACATAAATGCCTTTAGGAAAGAGATTTTCTTGCCGAAGGCATCTCATTTTTCCCTGTCAGTGACCGAGTTTGATTATAAAGTCTTAGTCTGCAGATGTGAATGTAATTCACCGATCCACACGTCAGTACGTTTTCATTTCAAGCAATCTCACGTTACTAACAAATTCAAATGCTTGCCTCCACTTCTTTGGTCAAGACACAGAAATATACAGGAATTTTAATATCCAAAGCTTCTACAAAATGTTGAGAGGGTGAGCAGGTGAAAACAGACTCAAAACGGAAGCAGTTTTTAGATGTGAGATCAGGGTATGTCTTGTACTACTGTGCTTTGCAAAGGTTTTCCTAGGCCGCTCGTCATTAGCCCGAGTCATGAAATTAGAGCGCCCTCTGGTGGCCCTCTTCTGTTGCTTCCCTCACCATCTCCACCTACTGATTTGGGGCTGGAGGGGGTCCCTCTGTCTCCCTTAAAGGGTGTACCCAAAAATGCTTGGCCTCTTTTAGAAGAACCTGACATTTTCTTAATAAAACAATAATGTAATAATCCCTCTGCAGGCAGCTTCACAAGACTTGCTCCTGAGTTCTTTGTCAAGACTCCCACTGCCTGGGCTACCTGGGCTACCTGGGCAACATGGTGGACAGCAGCTTCTCCACCTTCCTCTTCTCTGCCATCAGCTGGCTGGTCCTCTCTTCCACCACTTCCTCCAGGTGACTGGCGTACACTTCCAGCTTGCCCATCAGACTGTCTAGGATGTTCACCTGGCTTTAAAAGAACCCAGACATTAACGCCTTCTTCCAGCAATCGTAGAGCTGCAGCAGAGCACAACTTCCAGCTGTACATTCCAAGAACGCATTTCGTGCCCCTATGATTTCCTACCTCGGTACCGCCGGGGCATAGCAGTGACATAACAATGGCAACAAGGCCGCAGGGCGGGACAGAGACCCTTTCCCGGCTCTGTGAGCTTGGGCTGCCCCCTTCACCGCGCTGAGCCGTAGCTTACGCATTTGGAAAATGAGGGTAATAACATGTATCTCCTGGGTTGTTCAGAAAATGTAAGGAGCTAATGTGTGTGAAGTGCAAGAGGCGGGGTCTGGCATCCAGTGGGCATCAGTGACACTTTCCTGCTCCCCACCGTGCTCCATACCAAATGCGGATGTCGGGATGTCAGATGTCTTTTTAGATTGTCCAATGCAAGGGACGTGTCTAGATCCTACAGGTTCTTGTTTTAGAAGGGTCTTCAGCCAGGTGTGGTGGTGCATGCCTGTAATCCCAGCACTTGGGAGACTGAGGTAGGAGGATTGTGTGAGTTCAAGGCCAGCCTGGGCTACAAAGTGAGTTCAAGACCAGCCCAAACTGCATAGTGAAACCCTGTCTCAGAAAGACCCCCAAAGAAAAAATAGAAGCGTCTTCATAGAAATCATTTGAATTCCTTATCTTGGCCATGTGTGGTGGTGCACTCCTGTAATCCCAGCACTCAGGAGGCTGAGGCAGGAGGATCCTTGCACATTTGAGACCAGCCTGGGCTACCAAGAGAGCTCAAGGCCAGGATGAACTGCATAGCAAGACCCTGTCTCAAAAAGACAAAAAAAAAAAATCTATCTATCTATTTATCTATATCTATATATATATTCCTTATCTTTTAGGTGAGGAGACTAACACTCAAACAAGAAATCATCTTAATATTACACTACAGTCCCTGAGTAAAAAGTAAAAAGTCAACATGGACCATTATGTTAATTAAATGTATTTAACCACTCCATAAATTATGCATAGATCCAAACATCACATTTTATATCAAAAATTAAACAATTTTTTATTCATCAGTTAAAAATAAGATAAAAACAAGACACTTAAAAACTACTCCAGTTTGGAAAATCCAGGGCTGATATTCAGGTAGCTAAATGGCCACGTCGGGAGCAGACATCCGGCTCTCAGCCCCAACCTCCTTCTACCGACTCAGGCTACTTCCAATACGCGCTGTCTTCATACAGCCAGTGTTTCAGTGATATCATAACTCTGGTGTGAAGAAATCTACCCCTGAGAGAAGGATTTGAGAGGCCCCCACAATCTACAATCAGTAACTTCCTCCAGGGCTGGGGCTGCAGCTTGGTGCAGAGGCTTGCCTACCTAGCGTGTGAGAGGCCCGGGTTTGATCCCCAGCACACACACACAAAACACAAATAAAGAATTGGGGGAAAAGAATCTTAAGTTGGTGAGTAGCTTTTATTCCATAGCCCAATTCCAACTGATTCGTTTTGCCCCTTAAAATGCTGATTTGCAGAAGATGCTGAGGCTATGTCAAAGCTCCCTGGGAAAGAGAGCCTTTGCTGGTTAGCGATGTCTGAAACAGACAAAGAGGGCGGAGAAGTATTAGCGTCCGACACATTCGTATGAAATGAAGGTAGGGTGTCTCGCTCTACTTTAATCAGCACGTAGCCCGCTTGGCATGTAGGTAGGCACTGAGTGAATGAAGGAAGGCGGAGGGGTGGCGGGATGGAGGAGGGGAGAAGGGGAGGGAGACAAGGGAGGGAGAGAAGGGAGGGAGAGAAGGGGGGAGGGGACACAAAGAACCCTCACAGCATGAGTTGTACAGTTCTAGTGGCCCCGATGCCTAGGACAAAACATTTCTTGCACATCTAACTCACCCGTTGGGACTGGCTTCTCGTAAAGCTTTCTTGATGGAAGCGAACGTGGGCCTTTCATCCGGGGATTCCTCCCAGCAGGCCCTCACCACGACCATGATCTTGTCATCGCCCTTCTCCTCGCACAGGGAAGGTCGCAGCGGCCCGGCTGCTGTGGGCTCTCTGATCTGCTTGATGATTTCTGCGATGTGTTTGGGATGGAGATAACCAAAAGTCTGAACTTTGTCACCCAGGGTACCTCCCTTTAAGCCTGAATTGTGCTCTTAAGTTTGTAAACTGAGTTTCAAGTAAGTGGAATATTTAGAACTTCAGAGCAGTCGGAGTAATTTAATAATATTCTGAACCCTTGTGGAAAATGCAGGGCTCTAACAGAAAACATAGAAGCACCCTCTGATTAATCAGTTTCCAAATCAAGATTTTTTAAAATAGAACTTTCATTGGAGGGAATCACACCTCCGTGTGATTTTAGGGATGCATAAGCATTTAGTGCGGCAATCACCAAAATACACTTTATGCCATTTTGCATTCCATATAATATGCCACATAAAAGTAATTTTAACAAATAATAAGTACAACTGTCACGGAGCACCTCTCTACCCAATATGGTAAACCTAATGTCTCTTGCTTCCTCGTTGGCTTCTACCAGTGTTTACTAAGCATTCTATTTAACCACACTTGTAAAGGAAAGAGTATTTTGAGAATAATGTACACATATCTGTTATAAAAATACTGTGGCTGCAATAACATGGATGAATTTTAAATGCATGTTACTAAGAGAAAAAATAAAGCCAGGATGAAGAGGCTGTATAGGGTATTGCTCTATTTATACGTTCTGGAAAAGGCAAAATTATACAAATCACAGGTGGCCAGGAGTTTGAGGAGGACAGGAGATTTGAGTAGGTGAAGTACAGGAGAGTGTTTGACAATGAGGAAACTGTCCCATATGCTACTATAACGGTGCTCACCCGACACTTTGTCACTGCCAAGACCTGCAGAACTTGACAGCCCAGAGTGGACCTTGAAGAAGGCAAAATTGAAAGAATAATACCAGTCAGGAAATGAGAGGACCTGAAGATGGAACGCAAACAGGGACAAGGGATAGAACCGCGTTACCATGTACGCTGTAGGCTCACTGGAGGGGGCCGGGTGGAGGGGTGCTGACCTACGTAGCTTCCAAAATAAGACGAGATGATGAAAGATCAAAGGCGTGGCTCATAATCACTGTGCCTAATCACTTCCCACAGAGGGCCAAGCTAACAAGAACAGAATCACTATCCACACACACTGCGACTAAACAAATAAGGAAATGAATGGCGGAGCGTGGAAGCCAGCATTCTCCTGTGGGCCAGAGAGGCGGCAAGTGGGAGACTGGAATGACCCAAGGTGGTGCTGAATTACACGTGGAAAGGCCAACATGAGCTCTGTTTGGCTTTATCTAGGTGCAGATACATATGTGTGTAATTACAAGTGTGTGTGTACATCTGGCACGGTACACACGGGCACATTTACTTGCCTACCCCCTGAGACAGCCAATCAGCAACTACACCCCGGGAGCAACAAGCACACCTAAGTCTGGGTCTTACCTTCTGACACAGTTCTCCAACACAAAAAAGGCAAGGCTTTTGGAAGAATTGGCTGCTTCTAGTACTGGGACAGAGGAGCTCTCGATAAGCCTGGAAAGCTTTGCTACACTGGAAGGTAGCAAAGGCAGGTATACTGCTACCTTCCAGAGCAGCAAGGTGCTCAGAACAAAACAAAACAAAACACCATAGCAATGGTTGTGTGTCAAAGAGATTCAGACACCAACTACAATTTGAACAGCCAAAGGTGGAATGATTTGAGCAATAAAATAAAGACAGTAGCATTAGATTATAACCCAAGCATACAATAAATATACATGAACCCACACTGATAGAAATAAACAGCAGGCAAATCTGACACAGAGCTGAATTCCAGATTTCCGTAGGTATTCTTCCCTGGAGGAGGCAGCACCTCCTTCCCTTCAAAGGCGGGCGTCGCTGTCCCATACCTCCAGCAGAAGAATGGAGAAAGGAAACGCAGTACTTACGCATCACAGAGTACTACTCTGCCCTAAAGAAAGATAAGCTGGAGTCTTTTGTAGGAAAATGGGTGCACCACGAGACCATGATGTTAAGTGAAATAAATCAGACACACAAGCTTAAATAGTGCATGGTTTCTCTTACATGACCTAGAGTACAAATAAAAAGCAAAATAGAAATTTTGTATGTATGTATATACAGGATAGTTAACATGGTTGTTCTACTGCCTGCTATTTCTTTGCTGAAAGAAACTGTCAATGAGTCCTTGATTGATCAATATTGCATGTCTCTATCTGTTTTCATGAGAAACCACTTTGAAGATATCAATATGTAATACAACAAGCATTGTTAATTTCCTACCACTTTGTAACTGTATTTCTGTACTGTTCTTTTGCTATTTTGTAAAAGGTTGTCTGTCTGTTAATGTTTTCCTCCTTTTATTTTTAAAATTAAAAAAATAAAATAAAAAGCAAAATAAAAGACAGACAATAGGAAGTGGGAGAGAGAACATTCTCAAAGGGAAAAGGATTAAGATGGAGGGAGGGAGGAAGGGATAAGGGGAAAAAAGAATTAGGATGCGTTATATACATGTACCAACTCTACACAAGCAGTACAAACATTATGAACTGCAAGCATGTACACACACACACACACACACACACACACGGAGGAGAGCAAGGAATAGGTAGGGGGAAGGGAAGGAAATGAAACCAGTTGAAAAATTAATTCAGTTGCATTACGTACCAACCTGTACCAACTTTCCACAAAGAATGTAAACATGTACTACACACATGTACTAAAACTAAAAAAAAATTTAAAGTGTGGCTTCACACAGTGACTATTTCCTACAGTCAATATAGAAGGGGGAAGTCAACAATAACTTTCCAGTGGAGAATCAACAAGCACTACCTCAAGCAGGTGATCAAGGGAAACATCAACCATGAGAGTCATGGATAGTCGTGCCTCTACTAGGACATGATTTACTTCCAGAATCTTCCCTCAATGCACTCATAGCCCCAGTCTAGCCATGAGAAAAAGGGGAAAAATAAGACAATTGAGAAGGATATTCTACAAAATATCTGACTAGAAAAACTCTTCCCAAGTGTCAAGGTCATTAAGAAAAGGAAAGTCTGAGAGACATTTTCCCACAGAAGTTTAAGGAGCTGTGCTGATAAACTATAACATGCTGCCCTGCATAGGATGTTGAGACAGGAGAAAGACATAAGAAAAACTAAATAAAGTATGAACTTCAGTTAATACATTTAGCAATTTGGGTTACAAAATCATATGTAAAATATCCTCTTGCTTATGTCCACATTATAATGCCTAAAGGTATTCTAAAAGAATCTGTATTCTGGGTAAGTGTGTTTTACTTCCTAGATGAAGCACAGCTCAAGATAAGACTCAACAATGGCTTCAAGAGAAGTGACAGAAGCCTCAGTCCTGGATCTTCTGCTGTCCTCAATTTTTGCCCCTCAAAATCTCATGACAGTCAATAAAATGATGTAGAACTTTGAGAGCAAAAACACGCCATGGTCTGCACCCTGGGGATGTGTGTTTGTTACCTGGTTCTGTGCTACCAACGCTTCTAACCTGTAATCTCTAAGTCTGCCGGTCACTTTGGTGTAGTTGCTCTTTTCTTGAGGCAATGGATTCATGGGGCACGGGTGGGGCATGTACAAATAAATATAAAACAGTATTCTGGACCAACCTCCACATTTCCAGAGAACCAGGTCTAGAGCGGGGCCTGAAAATGCACATCTCTAACAAATTCCTAGGTGACGCTGAGGCGCTAGCCCACGGACCACACAGACCAAGGCCGGTGCTTCTCAGACTGTGGCTCGCCCAGGCACCGGGTGGAAATGCCCATTCTCTGGCCTCGCTGCAGACTTAGAACCGACTCAGAACCCAGAGAGGCCATCTAGCAGCTCTACGTTTTAGCGATCCTGCCGGTGATTCTGACACCGCAGAGTCTGAGAGGCACTCACCTGCAGCGCACAGAGGATTAATATTGACTCAGTTCCTGGCACCAAGTTTGTTTACAGGGAAGTGTGGGGAGCTCACAAAAGACCTGTGTTTGTCCATAAATGAAGAACACACTGTGTTTTTCCTGGTTGCCATATTGTGTTCACACAGTCCAGGCCCCTGGGACCGTTTCTCCTCCACTTTTGTGAGGGCTGCGACAAGGAGAGATACGGTATATTGACTGTCCACAGACAGCTCCCAACACCAGTTCGGGCACAGACTGGCAAGGCCCGGTGTTTGCTGGGCCGAGGGGCTGCAGGTGACCTGCCTGAGCTCAGTCTGGGAGTATCTGCCTAGCAGTTTGGATCCAAAGTCAGGTACACCTGGATCTCGAGTTACCTTTTTTGGATCAGTCTCACCTCTGTCTCATTTAGTCACAAGTTAGAAACTGAAATCCTGTTTTAAAGCAACTGCGAACACTGCAGTCTCTTGTTTTTATGTAAAGATGAAACTTGAGATAGGCCAGTGGAGAAGGGAAGAAAAAAATGAAGAGAGAAGGTGGGACTGGGCTCACTTTGAAATTCACACCCCTGCACACATATGCTCTCTCCCCTACAGTGTTTCTTAACCAGAACTCCTGATTCTAACTCCTAGAATCACCCAGGGAGCTTTCTGAACCCTGTATCCCACGCAGCTCCCCAGAGAATAACATCAACTCTCTAGGGCTGAGGTCCAGGCCCTGGCATTTAAGAGACAGTGCAGCAAAAAAAAACAAAAAAACAAGCTTGAATATATCCTTGGTCAGTGGACTGTCAAGCAGCATTTATCACAAAACTTAAATATGCTTAAAACACAGTTATTACTTCTGTTTCATGGCTAGAAATCTATCCTGAAGAAATATTCAACCATATGTGGTCACCACTGCAATTTGTAGAGCAAAAAAATGGGAAACACCCGTGACTAATGTATGGATAGTTTCGCCAGGAAAAAGTCTACAGTTCTTAAGAAAGAATGAGGTGGATTTGTAAATAGGAATGTGAGGTGAAGGCTGTCCAGGCAGAGGGAGGAAGGTGTCCAAAGGGCCTGGGAGGGCTGTGTCCGGCATTACGGAGCATGGGAAGGTGGCCAGTGTGACTGGAGCGGGTGAGCCATGGCGACAGAAGTGGGAAGGTGTGGAGGATGAATGGTGATCCCTAAAGGGATATGCTCATGTACTAATTCTCATAACCTGTCAATGTTACCTTATTTGGAAAAATGGTCTTTGTTGAAATTATCTTGGATTATCCATGTGGGACTGTATCCAATGTCCTTACAAGAGATGCAGAGAGAACACTCAGAGAAGGAGAAATCTGAAGATGGTGACAGAGGTTGGGCCATGTGGCCACAAGCCCAGGGATGCTGGAGCAGCCACCAGGTGCTGGCAGAGGCAATGAATGGACCTTTCCCTAGAGCTTCTGTCAGGGCCTGGGTTTGGCTAACACCTTCATCTTGAACTTCAGGCTCCAGAACTGCAAGAGAATATATTTCTGCTGTTGCAGGACAGCAAGTTTATAGTGACTGTTACAGTGGCCCTAGGAAACTAGTACTAAAGGACACCAAGGCCAGAGAGCTTAGAGGACCTGGGTGGCTTTCTGGGCCACGGAAGAACTTGGTATAAACTTCCCAGATGGGAAGCCATAGGAGGATTCTGAGCAGAGAAGTGACTCCTTTCCCAACATCATCATTCTAGCAGCTGGAATACAGTGTGTTATGTGGTATAATTCTAGGTCCCTGGGTTTTTTTTTTTTTATGCTACATGCAATTCATTTTCTAATTTAATATAAATTTTTAACTAAAAAATGAGGATGGAAGGCATTATAAATTAGTGGCACAAGAAAGACAAGTGTTTCCACGTCAGCCCATCCCACCAAAGGCCCCCGTCCCCAGCAGAGCCCACAGCTTTACCGTCCGGCGCCTCGTCAAGGTCCTCAAAGGGCCCGCGGTGCTGGTGGTGGATCAGGTCCCTCAGGAGAACGCCGAAGCTATAGACGTCTCCCTTCTGAGTGCCCTGCCAGGGCGCCTCGGGAAGCCGCAGGAGCTCCGGTGCCGTCCAGTAGAGCTCTGCAAGGCAACGCGGTGTCCTCGTGAAGGAGCAAGCAGGCAGGAAACCACAGCCCTGCTTCACTCACAGGGAACGTGGGGGATGCGGAGCACTCAGCAGCTGAGAAGCCAGCCCGGGGGCTGCTGACCAGAATGGAACAGGGGTCTGCAGGAAGAAGAATGGAGAACACAGCCAGGAGGATGCGCACCAACAAGATTAGAATAGCTGATTCATTACTGTGGTTTCCATTCTTTCTATACTTTTTCTACTGCCTACATTAAAAAAAAAAAAAAAATGATGCACTGAGGTAATGTTTGCCTAACATGAAACTAAGTTTTTTTTTTTATTGTAAAGAGAGTAGTAAGTGAGAAACAAAGAAATAGAACAGTAGCAGCATACCTGTATCACAAACATAAACAAATCAAAGCAGGAACACTTGAAGTGATACAGAGTCTCAAGACAAAATAATACGAATCAACAGTGGTTGTTACATTACATAACACTATCCTCGGCTACATTGCTCAGATTACCCGATGTAAGAATGAAAGATCGCTCAAACCATTATAGGGAAAAGGAAAATAATTCTTTGATAAAACAGTAGAGATAATACAGAGTTTCACTAGACAAGATGATAGGAGTGCAATTCCACTGCATATTGTTACCTTCAGATCAGTTGCTCAGACCACCAGACACAAGCATGCACAATCAGTCAGAACATAAAAAATTGTAATCATTAACTGTTCATTTCAATACACCATCAGACAGCAATGCAGTTATCACAGCTGTTCATATATATATTTATATTTTGCGTTCCCTCTTTGGAGTGTAGATTGGAGAAACCACTGTGGAAATCAATTTGGAGATTCCTCACAAAACTAGGATTGGAAGTCCCATTCAACCCAGCTATTCCCCCTCTGGATATTTTCCCAGAAGAATTAAAGACATCATACCACAACAAAATATGTGCACCTATGTTTATAGCGGCACAATTTATTATAGCTAAATCTTGGACACAACCCAGATGCCCATCCACTGAGGAATGGATAAAAATATGTGGTATTTTTATACAGTGGAGTATTACTCAGCTATTAAAAAAGATAATCTCGAGGCTTTTATAGGTAAATGGATGCAACTACAGACCATGCTCATAAGTGAAATAAATCGGACCCAGATGGGTAAACATCATATTGTCTCCTTGGTATAGGAACCTGAAAGACTCGGTAAAAATCAAAACATACAATAGATGATAGGAAAGGGAAAGAAATTGCTCAAAGGAAGGAACAACTGGGATGAGGGAAAGAAGAAAAACTAAGTTTTTGAAAGTGAACAATTCTGTGCTCACTGTAGCAGCACATATACTGAAAACATTAAAAGTGAACACTGCAGTAGCATTTAGCACATTCACAACGTTGTGTAACCATCATCTTGATCTAGTTTCAAAAATTCTACCACTAATGGGTGAAACTCTTTATCCATTAATCAGCTTTTCTCTGTTCTCCTCATCCCCTGGCAAGCACCAATCTGCATGGTTCCTATAGATTTTGCTATTCTGGGTGTTTCATATATCTACTTTTCTGTAGTAAGGTCTATAATTTTATACAAGGAGTGACTGAAAAATGCAGTGTGTGTCTAATTTTTATAAAAGCATTATAGTATAAAGCAGCATTGCCTTTAATCCCCCTCGAAACAGTCCCCCTGGTTGCAAATACATTTATCCCACCATTCTTGCCACCTGCTGAAGCAGTTCTGGAAGTCCATCTCGCAGACTTTCTGAGCATCTGTATAAGGTATGATCAAAAATACAATGACTGCTGCTGCTAAGGACCATCCCATGGAAAGGCAGGCTCATAACAACATCATAGTGTTCTTCACCCCCTTATGCACTGGATCTGGCACCCTCCTCTTCCCCAAAATGACCATAAAAGGTAATCATTTTGAAATGATTTAGAATACTGAGGTAGTCATTACAGTATAACTAAAGACACTCACGAAAGAGTACTTCCAGAACTGCTCCAGAGAGTGGCAAGAATGATAGGATATATGTATTCAAAGTAAAGGAGAGTATTTTGAGAGGGATTAATGCCAATGTGTATTTTACTGTAAGAACTTTTAAAAATATAAACATATACCATATTTTTCAATTATGCCTCATAATTATAGCTTATAGTCTTTAAAAGAAGATACATTAGAGGATAGGGAGCCAGGAGTAGCTACCAGTAGTTTTTGAAAACATCCCCCTTGTCTTTCTGTATGACTTCATTGCGTTCTGTGGCACGGGAACCTCCCATATTCACACAGAAAAGCTGCAGCCAGTGAGCTGCCCCAGCAGAAAGGCATGCAGGCCTGAGGACCCAGGCTTCAGTGTGGCTCAGATACACAAGAAAATGAGAATCAAGGGCATGCAATTAATTTCGGGCTAGTAGGAAGCCCCACTGAGCTGCAAATTGCTCATATGGAATTGGAGCTACAGGTCTATTTTGAGATGCACGGCAGAATCACATGAGCATTTTGATCAAGCAGTATGCCGAGAGCCCAACTTCAGGTCTTCTGACTCAGTTAATAAGGGGAGTGGGACCTGCTGCCCGAAAGACAGGCAGATGTGGAACTCACTTGTCTCTAAAGTGTCTGGTTGATCTCAGGTCTACACTGGGAACTGAGGCTGAATGTGGCAAGGGATGGCGGACTAGACAGAAGGGTCATTCCTTCCGTCCTGCTCCCAGGGGGAATGGAGCAGCCCTTGGCAGAGCCTGAGAGGGAGGCCCAGCTGTGCGTACAGGGACAGGTGTGCGTCAGGAAGCAAAGACGCAGAGAGAAGCCCTTGGATAGCTCAGCCGACAGCTGGTGGCTACAAGATGTTCTAGCAGTTACCTGTGTGGGCAATGATTTTCTTGTTGTGTGGTCTGTGTGTATGGCCATACTTGAACTCCCACAGCCCAAATCCGGACAGCTTCACCTGCATGCAACCGTCCACCAGGCAGTTGGAAGGTTTCAGGTTGCCGTGGGACCCCAGTGGGCTCCTGTGGAGGAACAGCATGCCCTGCAAGGGTGACAAGGAGCAGGTGACACAGAGCAGGTGCTATGGCCCTGGTAGGGGACACAGAGGTGAACGGATGGGCTGAGCGCAGACAGACAAGCAAGCCGGTGCGGCCTGGCTACCTCTGGGCTCTGTCGGTAAAGAGCCATCAGGATGACCCTTGCCAAGGAGTCAGGCTGCGCAGATTCCCAAAAGGCAGAAAACAATTTCTGGCTCCTCAGTGAGAAGCCAGGAAGACCAAGCCAGTTTAACTAACTATATCCTGGTGAGCAGACCCTGTGTTCACATCTCATCTCCATCATTTTACAGAGGGGAAATTACGGTATCCCTGCAAGCCTCATTCTCCTTTTCAAAATGGAAGAAACCATAATACTTACTGCGTGGCATGGTGGTGGAGACTGAATGTAATAATAAAAGCAAGATGCCAGACAATGCGTGATACAAAGAAAATACCCAATGTAAACTGCAATAAAATTACATAAATATAAATGCATTACTGTGATAAAGAATAGGGGCTGGGGGTTTAGCTCAGCAGCACAGCGCCTGCCTGGCAAGTGCAAGGTTGTGAGTTCAATTCCCAATACTGGAAAAAAACAAAACAAAAAAACAAACAAAAAAAGAATTGATAATATACAGACACTATGTAATTATTGCCTACATATTACAAATTGTATGCTGTTCTATGTGTCTAAGGGTCCTGTTTGACCACTTTGCAGAATAAAGCAATAAAGTGAAGAACATTGAGAAATTCTTCCATCATCCACTATGATTATAATTCTATTATTGATTATTATTATTATTATTATTATTATTATTATATTCTGCGTTCTTAGTGGTTACATGCTATGAAGAGGGAAGGAAAAGCCTTCAAGTCAGAAGATATGTACTCAATCCTGGGCTTTATTAATCTGTCTCTTAAAATAAGTGATTTCATTCCACTGGGCCTTCATTTTCCCATCTGTGAAATGGGACTTCCCAGATACTATTTAAGTGATAGCCTGGAAGCTTAGCAGGAATGCGGAATCCCAGGCCCCACTCCAGATGACTAACTCATGCTGTGCATTTGAACAAGGGGATTTCTGTGCACACGACCTGAGAAGACCTGCAGCCGTCACTTGCACCCAGTGTTGGCTGCACCTTAGAATCTCCTGGGCAGCTTAAATCCAAACGAACTCACAATAGATAGTGCAAGCCAGAAATGAGCACAAAAGTTCTGCATGCAGCAGAGGGGTTCGAATAGGGAGAGCTGTCTCATCTAGGAACTTGCTGAGGGACATGAGTCACAAGAGTGTGGAAAGCTCCATTCAGCAAAGGGTGGGGGGCTTTCCAGGAGGGAGGGGTCTTTCTGGGGCATGGGGAAGGGCCAAAGCAAGGGCTGGGGTGGAGGAGGGAAGGAAGTGCTCTGGGAGGACAGGTAGAGGAAGAGATCATTTCACAAAATGAAAACAATCATACTTGCCAACCATGACTGGAGAAAAGGATATCTGTAGCTCTCTGAAATCTGCAAGCGCAGAGCTGGAAGTGTTGTGAAGGACAGGGAAAGCGGGCTGGCCATGAGGGGCAGAACCCTGAGCGGGGAGGCGCAACTTGGCGCTGGTTGTTTTATCTTGTTTTGTTTCCCTTACCTTCTGTAATGGCTTCACCAAGAAGACACTGAACTAGCACTGATTCAATATTTTCAGTTTCTTGCACTTTGGGGTTCTGATGTAAAGCTCTATGTCCTTCTAACCAGAATCCCTGAATTATCCCTTTTCCAAGTACTGTTTGTTGGGAGTTGGTAGAAAACCAGCAGCCTTGAAACTTCCCAGGGACAGAGCTACCATGGAGCCTGTTCCTTCCTCATCCTGGGCAGCCTCATGCCTACCTCAACCAAAAGGTGTCACAGTGAAAGTGAAAAAACGACAACGCCTCTGTCAATGACCAAAAAATGACAGCGCCTCTTTGCTGGTTGGTTTTGATTATGTTTTTTGCCGTTTTGTTTTTTTTAGTTACAGTGTTAACCTTTGCCAGCTAGCAATCTGCATCCCTTAAACTAATTCATACAATCCTCCTAAGGAACCTAGAGCAGGGGGAGTATTCTCTTCTTAGGAAGGGACGTAGACATTAATGTTCCCCAGGTCTCTAGGCTGCTAGTGATGGAACTGTACTGAGAATGGTGTTGTCTGATTCTCAGCCCAACTCTCAGAAACACCTTTGCTGATGAAAGACGTCAGTGAAGGGCAGAGAGTGAGGAGTAACGGAGTGCTTCATTTAGCTACACATTTCCAAGTGGTAATATTGATTTGTGATAACAGATAAGTAACAGTGAATCTGTTTTCAGCACTTTGTGCTATGCACTGTGCAAAGTGCTCTATAACTATTGTCGCATTTAGCCTTTGCTGAGACAGGTTAATATTCTCATTTTCAGGTTCACAGTGAACCAGTTCAGCATTTTAAATGGCTCCCAAGAAGTTGGGATCAGAGCTGGGTATCAATCCAGGATGGATAACCTTCAAAGCCAGTCACTTGTAAGCCACTAGAATTTACTGTTCCCCCTGCCCTGGGTGACTGTGGAGGAAAGGAGGGCAGAGAACAAAGGAAGGAGTGGGTCAAAGCACATTTACTCACAAGACACCGTTTCACAAGCACAGCCAGGTCGCGGTGCAATTCAGAACCGGTAGGGAAGGCAGAGGGAAGTCACAGTCACGCGTGGGCTTGACCTCGGGCTGCCCAGGACAGTGCAGCAATGTGGAATTTTCATGGATGTTCTCAACGGAGGATTGCACCTTGGGCAGCAGTTCAAGCACTCCCAACAGGCTGAGTCTCCATGGTCCACATAACCCAGAGCCCTGAGGCCAGTATTGCATTGGAAATACAGGCTAATCCACAAGGCTGTAAGGAGCATGCATGTGTAGGCCACCCACTCCACCCCTCAAACTCAGGTGACCCTGTGCTCCTTGATCCTCCTGGCTTGTTTGTTTTTGACAAAGTGGAGTCACACTTTGAAATGCAAACACACTCAGCCTGACCCAGAGGGGGGCTGCCTCTGGGGTGTCTCCAGGCAGACTCCAACAGACTGAGGTCCGATTTGTTTGTTGGTTTACAAAGCCTTCAGGGGCTCAGAATCTCTCCGGTACCTGGTATGCAGGAGGTATTGCTGGCTAAACAGACACAGAGAGATTTTTTTTTTGGTCTGGGGGCTCCCCAGTCCCTATTTATTTATTTATTTATTTATTTATGAGATGGAATCTCACTAAGTTGCCCAGGCTAGCCTAAAACAGGTGATCCTCCTGCCTCAGTCTCCCCTCAATGCTGGGATTCCAGATAAGTGCCACTCTTTTATGATCAGTATGTGATAGCTAAAGTCTTTGTCTTCCCAAAAAAGGGCTCTAGAGTAGAATGAACATTTAACAGACGCTCATTACAATTTTCATGCAGTAACAGTGGTGGTGCAGAATTGGCCTCGGAGACCAAATCACAGAGAGGTTTGTTTGTCTACCATACTTGCCAACAAGGTGTCGGCTTTCCACTATGCCAGTTTTCCCTAGAAAACGAAGGTCCCACCGGGCCATAACACTCAGCTTCTTAGGAACAAAAAGCAGTAAAATCTCTGAGGAAGGGAAACGCTTTGATGCCAACCAGAATTATTCATTCTGCCCACATCTGTCAAGATGCAAAGAAGGCATACAGCCTGACAAGGTCACTCAGTGAGTCAGTGGGCTGGTTCTCTAAGAAGGCAGAGCTCACGTTTCTCCCTGTACCCCTCATGGCACTCCACAGGGCTCTGTTGGGGGCTGGGTGCCACTGTTCACTGATGCCAAGGACCAGCCCTTGCCCTGCTGACCGCGTGTCAGTCTGAGGGACTTCTTCCTTCAGACCCACTCCCAGGCCATTGGCTTGGTCCTGCCTAATGGCGAAAGTGTGCACTTACAGCAGCAAGATCGGAGTCAGCTAAGGGTCAGGAAAGCAGCCTCACGTTGCTGCTCCATACAATCTAGCCACTCCTCAGCTAGTATTTTCCACCCCACTCCTGCTCTCCATCTTTCATCACTAGCTGCGCACCTACCCTGAGTAATCTTGCTCCCGTGCCTCTGCACAAACACACACACACACACACACATAAACATGCACACAGACACACACAGACACACACATACCTTTCAAGGCAGCAAGAAGGAATAGCCCTCTCTCTCCATCTCCCTTTGGATTGTCCCTAAACTGCTACCAATGGCCATCTAGACGTGAGATTTACCAGTCCCCATTGCAAAACACAAAACAATTCTCTAGTTCTACCTACCGAGAGGCAGTGTGGGACACTTGTTGAGTGTAAGACTCACTAGTGCCTAAGTTTGAATCCTATTTCTACTATTTAGTAACTATGAGACCTACAGCAAATTATATGAACTTTCTGTACCTCATTTTATCATCTGTGACAGGGGAGTAACAGTAGATCTATCTTATAGTTCTTGGGAGAATTAAATAAAATTAATAAAACAAAGTACTACAAAGTGTGTGTCCCAAAATAGGATAGATAGATATAGACATAATATAGATATACATTTATTTCCCCATGTTTGCCCCAAAGTAATACCTAGATGGAAAATAATCAGCCTTGAAAACTAGAGATCAAAAATGCCAGCCCTATTGCTATAGTTATCCTTTAAATAAGTATATGGTATACTCACATTGACTATGTCATATGCAAATGACATTTTGAATATCCAATCCATTTCACGATCTGAGTTTCTCAGAACATCCTAGAAAACATAATTCAAAAGATCACTAGTGATTCAAGCCAAAGCACAATGAGCATCACACATTTAATGAGATGACTCTAATATCTCTGATATTGTTGGCCAGAACTAATATAATGGGAAAGAGAACACAATAAATTTAACTAAGTTGGAGTCTTTCTATGAGCTATCACAGCCTAATTAAGTACTGAAAAACTATGTCTATAGCCACATCTGGATGCACTGGATCTCATCCACCATGGAAGCTAAGCAAGGTCAGGCCTGGTTAGTACTTGGATGGGAGAAAGTACAGTCATGTTTTTAAAATAAACTTTTAAGGCATCTGATATGAATACACACTTCTCAGATGAAGAAATACAAATGGCAAATAAATATATGAAAAAATGTTCAACATCACTGGTCATTTGAGAAATGCAAATTAAAACAACACTGAGATTCCATCTCACCCTGGAAAGAATGGCTGTCATCAAGAAGTCAACCAATAACAAACGCTGGAGGGGGTGTGGGGAAAAAGGAATCTTTTTCCACTGTTGGTGGGAGTGCAGACAAGTGTGGTGATTCCTCAAAAACTAGGATTAGAGGTTCCATTTAACCCAGCTACTCCCCTCCTGGGAATTTTTCCAGAAAACCTGAAGGCATCATACCATAGTGATATATGTGCACCCATGTTTATAGCAGTGCAATTTGTCATAGCTAAGTCTTAGGAACAAACTAAATGCCCATCAACTGAGGAATGGATAAAAAAGATGTGGTGTTTTTATACAGTGGAGTATTACTCCACTATAAAGAAAGATAAACTCAAGGCTTTTATAGGTGAATGAATGCAACTAGAGACCATACTCACAAGTGAAATAAATCAGACCCACAGTTAAGTTTTACAAACACTTCTTTGTGCCTGACGTAAACTGATAATCACATACTGGGGAAAGGATGGGCCCAAGAACACAGTTTGAAGCAACCATGACATCTTAGGAGAAGAAACCAAACCCATAGAGTTTCCACTTAGACCAAAGGAAACTAGATGCTTGGTGACTCCATTGCTAATCTGATCCCCAGCAGAAAGCTCAACAAGATAATTCATGTCTTGCAATTAGACTCAAGGGAAGCTGTGTTTGGATGAGCGGAAGAAAGCATTGATAAGGTTCTTTATTAGCTACCACTAATCAAGCCTGAGTTCAGTTTGCCTCGTTTGCCTACCTTAAGGCTTCCTTTTCTGCAATACTGGGTGACAAGACAGATGTTAGGTGGTTCTGTGCAAACACCAAAGAAGGACACAATGTTTTCATGTCTTAATTCACACATCTAGGAAAAATGAGAACAAGAGCACATGTAGAGCATTTCTTCGAGCCAAAGGCTGTGCTATGGGTATTACATACTTGCAGTTATTTTTTGAAAGACTTTGTGAGATAAAAAGTATTACTGTTTCTGCTTTACAGGCGAGGGAACTGATGCCTAGAGGTAACAGAACTTCTTGATGATCATTTAACTTAAAAGTGGCCAAGCTGGAAGGTACCCGCAAAGTCTGCCTCCAGCAAATAAACCAGAAGAATGATCAAAGTCTAACCTTAGCTATGCGTTGAACTAAACCGCATCACAGTAACAAGATCCAGCCCTGCTTCCCTGCTTATAGATCTCAATGCCAGTGTGTGGGTCACAGCAGGTCACTAATACTGAACAAGAAGTCAGACTCACTCCAGAGGACAAGCTCAGGGTTAATAAGCAGCCACCATAGAGAGAGAGGAAGAAGGGCCAGAATTAAGGCCAGGAAGAATAAAGGGGGAAAAGCAGAGGCAGGAGGAGTCAGGGCTCCAGATGCTTGGGTCGGATCCAGGGTCTGAGGCCCACAAGCTGTGCTGTTGGGGCATGGGATTGGGCGGTTATGGAGGAAACCTCCCACCACTGTGTGCCTGGGCATGGGCAGAGAGGGGTCTCACCAGACGGACTTCCTGCAGCACAGTCGGCTTCCTAATCCAGGCATCCGCTTGGTCGCCAGCATAGTGGATGGCTACATGGTTTCCCTGGAATAACACAAAGTGGAATGTTGCTAACCAAGTATGATCCAGAAGCAACTCTGTTCAGAAAGGGTGAGGAAGCGGGGCAGGAAGACTAGCTACAAGAGATCCACCTGTGTGAGGGGAAGGAGGGATCCTCAGGCTCCTCACTGCCCAGGCAGCCCCTGTGGTGGTGCTGTGCTATGTCTCGGCACTAAGCAGCTACTCAGCAGCATGCCCTCATTTCACTGGCATCAAAACTCTGCAAATGGGTTTGATAAGCCCATTTCCAGATTGGGTCACTGAGGTTGGGTAACTTGTCCAGGATTGCACATTTGTAGGCAATACGGCCAGAATTCGAATGTCTAACTCTAAGTCCATACTCATTCTATTATGCAGTATTGTCTCAGTATTCAGAGGAAATAATTCTTCAGGTCGTAAGTGTAAGTTTGGAATCAGATGCCTGGTTCAAAGCCCTGGGCCATCACTGAACTTAACTTCTCCCAACCTCCATTTCCCTGTCTCCAAAATAGAGATTAAAATAACACCAATCTCATGAGGTTATCTTGAGGATTAAATCAGTTATAAAACATCACACTGGAAACTCAATGCCTGGTACCCATGAAGTTTTCAGTAAATGTCATCTCTTACAGTCATGACCTCTTAAATCTGCTTTTAGAGTCAATCATTCACCACAAAAACTGTACCAATGCATTCAAAACTGAGAAGAAGAGCTAGAACGCGGACCAGAGAGAAGGTAAGCGTCAGTGTGAGTTAAACATCAAGCCCAGACCTGCCACTTTCACTGTAAAAGTGTGCAAAGGCCTCGGGACTGCAAAGGCCTCGGGACTGTGATGACATTTCCAGGGAGGAAGGGATGCCTGTGGTACTTGGCAAAGGATTGTGAGAGGAGGTGATGCTTATTCTGAGTCCTGAAGGATAAAGAAGGGTCCATGTGGGGTGGGCAAGGCAGAACAGACATGGCATGGGTGAAACACACACAAGTATGAAATACACATGACATCACCAGCAAAACCAAGTGGATGAGCATAAGATTTAGGCCAGGGGAAAAAGGGTTTCTAAAAGTAAGTTAGGCCAGGTAGTCAGCAGGCTGAGTCACTTATTAAAGGTGTCGAACATTAACGTGTGGGCAACAGAAATGGGGAACCCAGTGGTGAGACACACACTTGGAAAGATTAACCTTATGGCGCAATGCTAGGGATCGCTAGCTTCCTTCTCTAAATGGCCAGGTGATCACAATAAACAGCTTTGCATGAAAAGTGGTCCTTAAGGGTTTGGGCTGTGTCCCAGAAGGTTTTTGTAGTTTGAAAACTTAAGTAAGACACTTAGAAAAATAAATCCAGTTCCATAGGAAATGATTTGTCTTCAATCTCTCCTAACCCCAGTTTAAAGCAAGGAGCAATTCTTCCCTTGCTTGGAGCTTTCTGCCTTTATTTTCCAGGCCCTCCATTTAAAAGTTAAATAAATAAATACAGGGCTTTTTTTCTTATATCACCTTCCCCTAGGGGGTTTGAATGTCTAGACGATTTCAAAGCACAGGCAGCCACTCTCCAGTCTGCATTGTTGAAGGAAGGGAGAGAAAAGACAGGCAGGAAAAAGTTGCAGCTTCAGCAGCTGCCCTTGCTTACCCTGTAGAGGCAGCACACCCACCACCAAGAGATGAAAGTGTCAGGGATGGAATAGCCCACACTCCAAGACTGTGCTGTCTGTTAAGGCAGCCTCTAGCCACATGAGACGATTTCACTTTAGATTAATAAAAATGAAATGAAGTGTAAATTTTTATTCATAGAATTTTAAATCTCGTTCCCCAGGCACACTACAGTCAAATCATCATATGAGCCTGGTGGCTGCCATATTGGACAGAGCAGATTTGGGACACGTTCGTCATCACAGAAAGCTCTATTGCACGGAACAGAGTCTAATCTAGAAGCTGGCATGGGAATCACACGTGAGCTGGTTAGAAACACAGAATCTCAGGCTCCACCCACACTTACCCATAAGTCTACATTTCTAAAACATTTTTAACATTTTTAAATTGATATGTAATATTTGTATATATGTATCTGCATTCTTAACATGACCCCCAAGTGATTCATACGCACATTTAAGTTTGAGCAGCATCTGGAGATACAAAAGCACCTTGGCTTTGGCGTGGAGCACGCCCTCCTTTTCAGAATACCCTGCTGAGCTGAAGGACAAGTGCAACATGCAACAGAGCTACACATTAAGATCTACATGCAGCCTCCTGGCTTCAGAAATACCTGGTAAAGCCCTACTGGGGCAGAAAAGAGCTCTTCCCCCTGCTGGCTCTTGACAAAGTAGCAGAGGTCCACCGAACTCATCCCACTGGACACATTGCTGTGGTCACCTCTGGACACAACTGTGCCTCTCTCTGATGGCTGTAAACGAGACATGATTTCATTGTCCTCAGTAGCATGGCCAGGTGCAGAAGGGACTGAGTGCTTTATGAATAAGGAGCTGAGCTCCAAGTTCACACAGTTAATACTCTTTTGATTTTTAAGACATGTTTACAATACCCAGTGATTAGATTTCTCACGGGGAATTGGTACATGTGCATAACACATCTTAATTCTTTATTCACCCCCTCATCTCCCTCTCCCCTTCATTTCTTGATCCTCTTCCCAGTTAAAAGAAAACTATCTACTTCCTATTATATATCATTTATTTTGTTCTTTTCCTGTACTTTGGATTTCTCATAGAAGAGAAACCATGTGACATTTAAACTTTGATTTACTTCACTTAATATTATGTTCTCCAGGTTCATCCATTTTCCTACAAATGACTCAATTTTATCCTTCTTTGTAGCAGAGTACTACCCAATTGTGTGTGAGTACCATACTTTCTTTATCTTTTCATCTGTGTCTGACCCAAAGCATGGGTTCTTACCTGCTACCTGCATCACTCTTGACATCTGTAGCCTATACAGTGTAGGAGATGAGGGCAGACTCTGAGGTCTGGCTTCCCAGATTCAAGTTCTAGCTGTGGCACTTAACCAGATGTGAGTTCAGAATCATTTTCCTAAATGAACTCTCATTAGCTCTGTATTGAATTCCTCCAGCACCTCCCCAGCATCTGGAGAACATCTTCAAAGCAAAGGAACGCTATATTTTAAGAAGACTCTACCCTGGGACCCTAATGTACAAACCAGACAAACCCATGGAGCTGCCTGTGCTTGAAGAAGAAGAACAAAGGCTATGCATTCCCCATGCACATTTGGAAACAAGTGACTACTGAACCCCAATCTCTTGGTCTTAGTGCAGTGAAAACTCCATCGCTTGGAACCAGCCAGGCTTCCCAGGCTCCAGCACCCCACATCCTGGCATATCTTAAGTGACGTCTCATTGTCACACAAGCAAACTCACTCTTCCCAATGTCATGTCTTCTCCGAAGCCTTCAAGATACTGACAACTTTAGTCCATCCATCTGCAGGGCTCTGTCTCACGGTGGAGACCTCTGTGAGCACTTGCCTCCCTTCCAAGGCATCTCATTTGCGGGGTGTTCCCACACCTTGCGTTCTGCCTGGTCCACAGTAAACAGCCAAGGGTTTGTTGTGCAAATTAACCTTGTGGTAGTAGCCATCAGATTAAAGGAGTTCATGCAAATATTTTGTTGTTCTTTTGAGACAGGATTTCACTATATAGTTCAGGCTGACCTTGTACTCACTGTGAAGACCAGGCTGGCCTTGAACTCCCAGCAACCCTCCTGCCACAGCCGCCCGAGTGCTGAAATCACAGGCATGCTCCACCACACCCAGCTGGAGTTCATGTAATTTTTTTTAAAAGCTAATTGCTCCCCAAGAAAGGCTGTAATACTTGAGCAGGCTATGTGATGCTTACCCCTGCAGAGTGACAGAGTTGACAGGAACTTTAAAGACCATCAATCCTCTACAAAGAGTCAAAACCCGAATGTCAAGGAGGTGAAGTGATAGTCTCAGAGGTACTCAGCCAGTTAGGGGGAGCCCAAGACCAGAACACAGGTCTCCAGACTCTGCCTTAAGTACTACCTTTGTACAGGAGTCAGCCTCTTGGTCTCACGTGGTGCACTGTGAGGCCCCTTCCACAAGTCAGCAGGAAAGACAAGGGAAGCGGACATGTGGGTCGCGTGTGGCCTCACCTTGTTCTGGGGCAGAATAGTGATGTTCTCATAGTTGATTTGCCACCAGGGGTCTTTATTTCGGCTCTGCAGCCTTCCCCGCTGAATCCGTAGAGCCAGACCTGCAATGGCAGCTCCCAAGACAGTAACCAGAAGCACCAGGGTGAGAAGCACAACAGCCACACCTGGACGGGAGAGACAGTTGTTATTCAGACCTGCCGAGGAACAGAAGCGAGTGCAGCAGAGGCCTGAAAGGTTGCCCAGGTGTGGTCCAGGTTAGGACAAACCGAGTCCACTTAGACTTGGCCTCTTCTGGGAACCTCTCTCTGAATACCACTCCAGTTTCCACTGCAGTCACACCCATCTCCCCATAGGTACAGAAACTTCCACTGTAGGGAAAGAATAATGATGACTTCTAACCATGACTGCTTGGTTATAGCTTTACCATGTGCTCTCTGAAGGGCCCTGTGAAGAATTCATCTGATCCAAGAGCTTGGCTCCTAACCACCAAGCAACACCCTCCTGCACAATTTTCCTATCTCTTAGAAAAGAAGTTCCTAAGACTCAAATCTCAGGAACCAGGTTTCCCTACTACAGAGGTTCTCATCAGGGAAAGAGGGCTATGTTGCTCCTTAGCAGATATTTGGAAATGTCTGGAAAAATTTTTTAAAACAAACAAATGTGACAATACAGGGCCGCTCCTGGCATCTAGTGGGTAGTGGCTGAGAATACTGTTCAATACCCTACAGAGTGCAGGACAGCTCCCCGCTGTACCTTCTCTAAGGAGCCATGCTTACCCGTGAAAGTAGCCTCTGCTTTGCAGAGCTCATTGTAAAATCCACAGCCAGGTCTGAGTCCATTTTCAAGAAGGAAGCCATGGGGCCAAGTAATATTGGAGAAATTCCTCAAGGGCCTTTTAAGAAGGAAAAGACAAAGGTCTCTGGATTTATTCTACTCATCTCTACTTACATTTAACAGGAGCAACAGAAACATGCATGTTATTTACAAACCGCTGCTGTCTGGTCCAAAGTCCCGCTTTCTCTAAAGTCTTCTAGTCCCGCCTCTGCTAATCTAATTCGTGGAAGTCAACATCTTTTTGCAGAGTGGAATAGCCGCCTCAATTTTTGGATTTAAACCGTGTCTTTTTTGATTAAAAAAATAATGTGACAATTCTCCACGACTGTGTGAACATGTCTGCACAGACGGATCTTATTGTGTAGCCCTTGACATCTTCCACTGTGTGGAATATGCCGGTTTCTGCAGTATGAGAACCAGGGTCCCAGCAGATGCTTTGATTCTGGCCCAACCCACTTTGGTACATTAACATTCCCTAAGAGAAAGGGCGAGGAAGTATCAAATGGACTTTGGGCGTGGTAGCAGTAGGGGCAAATAGAAGTTCAATTATGAAGTTTCTTTTTTGTTTTCTCATTGATTTGCAGCTGAGAGAACAACACGGGAGATTCCTCCCAAGGATTCCTGGGTACTTGGAATCCAGGACGGGAGAGAGTCCTAATACACACCTGCATCTCTCTCCCTTGGGGAGTCAGGCTGCGCAGGTGAACTCTCTTGCTGACAGTGGACCCATTCCCATAGGGGGCGCTGTGCTCTATCACCCCCTTGAGGCCAGGGCCGCTGCTGGCGAGCACTGGCCAGCAGGCACCTATTTTATAGGGCAGCAGAGGAGGCCCAGTGCTGTGGAGGTGCAGTTAGGGGTGCTGAGTTCTGCTCTGGAATCTGAAATGGCCACAGTCTAAGACAAAGTCACCTTAACGTCCCAAAGTCCACTTTTATGAGTTCAGGGAGTACCAGCCTACTTGGTGGGGGATTCTAGGGCTTGGATCCCAAACTGATCTCCCAGCAGGATCCCTGACCGCGTCTCTTCCCAGCACTCTTCCTGCAGGGTGATCTAAACTTGCAAAAAGGACCTGCAGTACCTGATCACTTTCTCATAGCTGTCGTAATGAAGAAAAGGAAGAAAAAGCGATCCATTTCCAGCTTTCTGTAGGGCATAGACAAAGTAATCCATGTGCCTTTCTCCCTGAGAGTCCACAAGCACAGGGCCAGTTATTCCTGCAAAGAGAAGATTCAGAAGGGGAGGGGGGAAGGAAGAAGAGGAGAGAGGGAGGGAGGGAAGGAGGGAGAGAAGGAGGCAGGGAGGGAGGGAGACTGACTGACTCTTGGCTAGAAATGCCACACTGCCCTGTCCCAAATCTGCAACCTTTTCCCGTCAATGCCAGGTGAGAGGCTTTTGCCATCTCGAGGCATCCGAGCCAACAGCAACGGGCGCAGTGCAGGGAAGAAGACGCTTCAGCAGCGGCCTTCTGGTTGGGCCTAAGGGCAACACTGGACAGGCAAATGCATTTTGCCAAGCCTGTGCTGGCGAGGTCCATCCATCATCAGGAAAAAAAAATAGAAAGTTTGGGCAGTCTGTAGTCAATTTTACTTAAAACCGCAAACAGTAAGATGGAACAGTCAGAGGCCCAGTAGCCACACGGCAGCAGCTGGCTGGGAGCTGCCTCCTCCAGTTCCTCCCCTCCTCGTTCCTCCCCTCCAGGTGGCAGGCCCCAGGGATACACAGGTTTGCAAGCTTCGTTCTCAGGCTGTGCTCTTCTCTGCAGGGTTGGTCATGCTCTGAGGCTTGGGCAAGGCATTCTGTCCCCAGCCAGTAGGTTCCTTGTTCTTGTTTATGATGCCTTCAACCCCACTCACTAGTAATCGTTCCCATTGTCCCTCCAGGGACAGGACACAGCAGTACCATTTATGAAGCACCTGCAATGTGGCCAGCATTGTGGTTATAGTGATCTGAGGTCTAGTTCCAGCTGACACTGTGGAGGAGGCACTCTCACCGATTCTGGGCAAGGGGGCACTAGAGCCACGGTGCCTGAGTGCCTCCCAGAGCCAGGCAAGGCAGAGGTGGAACACAGCCCCGGGCACCCGGGACTCTGCAGCTGGCCCCACCTTCTGCCTGCGCGTGCACTGCAAGAACCAGGCCTCCAGTCCTTAGTTTTATTTGTGATGGCTGCAGCTAGAAACCAGCTGGGAGAGACTTCCCCAGGGAAGAGGGGGAATGGGAGAAAGTGCCCAGAGGCCTCCTCCAGTGGGTGGGACAGGATGAGTGGGCCATGGCAGCTGGGGCATTTGAACATAACCACACTTCCAAAAGACTGGGACCTGCCTGAGAAAAGTGAGTTCTGTAGCTTGGTGTAAGGAAAGCCCTACAGGAGGCCCGTGCTCCCTCACCCCGCATCTCAAAGACCACAGGGACTGGGGCAGCAGCTGAGTTCAGAATGGCTTCTTCCCCCAAGTCAAGCCACTCACCCTGCAGGGGGATCTGATTGGCTTTCAGGGTGCTGAGCAGCTGCCGCCCATCTCGAAAGTCTCTCCCAGCCCTTATCATCTCTTCCACCATCCAAGCGTAGAGCAGAAGGGCATCGTGCAGGTAGGCAGAGTAGGGGCTCACCTTGGAAAAGAGGGGTCACAGTGCAGACAGGCCCAGGCTTCCATCGCTTGATGAGGTGTCCCTCCACCCTGGGAGCGGTGGAGCTGGGTATGTTCTTCCAGACCACAGATAGGAGAGGCCGCCCCGGGCCTGGATCTGTGTCTGGGCCTGTGCTGCTAAGGCTGGCTGTCCCCGTCACCACCTCTCCTCCCATGCCTCAGTTTCCCATTTAGATCTCACGACCTGTCAGCTCAGGAATGGCTCTGCAAGCCGTAGACAGCAGAGAGGATGGTTTAAGGAAAAGAGGGAGAGTTTGGAGCCAGGCTGGCTCTACCACTTCCTGGTTATGACACCAGAGTAAGTTCTGTCACCTCTCTGATTATAAAATGGGATAAAAACCACTCTCATAAAACATGAAGATAGCTACATGAGCTAAACAACACATCACAATGCCTGTGATCCATAGCTCTTCAATACGTGTTCTTCTATTGGTTTAGTCAATGAAAATACAAGCACCTATTAAGTGCTAGACGCCATTCTCCTACAGCAGCTGGAGCAGAGCTGACAGTTAATAGACTGTTCCCTGCATTGTCACTGACTGATCATTATGTCTTGTATGTTAGGGTCACAATCAGCCCCTCATTCCTAATCAAGCCCAGTTCTCAGCTTGACCCTACACTGAAAGTCTGCCCACCTTTCTCTCTAAAAAACTCTCTATGGGAGCCATTTACTGCATCATTCATACATGCTCAGATTCCCACCGGCTGATGTGCTGTCCTGACTGTCCCCCACAACCTGGCTCCTCTGCTGGCCTTAACTGTCCTAATCCATGTCTTTGACGGCTCCATCCTAGCTCTCTATCCAAGCATCTTCTAGGCAAGGGCAATAGACATGAGGGGGGATCTGACCCCAAAGGTCAATGGCCTTTCATCCCATAACTTCTGTCCCCCTCTGTGGTTGTGGGGTGTAGGTTTCACAGAAAAGCATCAAACCAATGTTTATTTTGAGCCTTGGAAATGAGGAAGAGTGTCAGGGGGTGGGGGAAGAAAAGGACAATAAGAAGAGAAATGGAAAAGCCAAATACAAATATGGTCAAGGAATGGAAGGCGGGGCTTCCACGGGACCCCATCAGACCTGCTCCTCCGAGGCTATGGCGCTGCAGAAGGGGGGCGCCCTCAGCCTTTGGTACACTTGTCTGAAGAAGTCGTCCTCTTCGGAGCCTTGCGCATAGGAGCTGAGGGCGATGAGAAACACCGACTCATAGACAATCGGCAAGTGTGTCACCTTCTGATTTGTCAACAGTTCCTTCCAAAATCTGTCCTAAACAGTAATGAAATACATGTCACCACTCTGTAGGAAATAAGAACCACATGCAAGGCAATGCTGAACTTGAATTGCTGCACTGCGGTCCTCGAAAACACAGTATTTCCAGAAGCCCTGTAATACAAGGTCCGCAGGTTCTAGCCAGCAGATAGGCAGGAAGAAGGCAACCAAAAATGAAATAAAAAATAAAAACATACATGGGGCATCAAGCAGCTAGGATATAGAAAGCTTCTAACAATAAGCACAAAAGTTCAAGAGTTTAGGATTATCGAACCTCGTCTTCTTCTCATTGCTTAAGTGCTTTGTTATCATTACCTATATCATCACTAACAGTGTTACTATCATGAATACTATCTACTCCCTCATTGTATATTTTCCTTTTGCTCCCTCTCTCCCCACCCTGGGAGGTATCCAAACAATACAGGCAGGTACAGAGGTGTGGGGTGTGTGTGTGTGTGTGTGTGTGTGCATGAGTGTGTGTGTCAATCTGTCTTACACTTACACTGCACTGGTTCTGAGACTTCATTTTTTTCCCACTAAGTTCTACACTGGGAACATTGCTATAGAATGGATTAATGCATTCTTTTTAAAAGCAGCGTGAATTCAATTTGCATGGAGTTTGTGTGGTATAATGGTATATTTTTAGTTCCATGCTCTTTCTGCTGCTTCAGACTAATTGGAATTGATCATCAAGGTTTAGGGAGGAAGCAAGAGGGGGTGGCAATAAAAAGAGATGGTAGGAAGATATACTGCCAAGTCTGGCATATATTTAGAATTCCAGCTGTGACCCAAAGAAATCTGAGACTTTTTAGCCATCAAAAATAACTCACAGTAATGAAATCTGTGGTTATTTTATTTTTCCCTTTACTCACCTTTGCCCCAACTTCTTATGATCATGTAAAACAAGCTCATTTTAGAAAGCTAAAGCTTCTGGAAAAAATTCTACAATGGGTCCTTAGCTCAAGGCAAATGGCTTGTTTGGATGTCTACAGGACGATGTGCTTACATGCGCAGACACTGAGGCCAGTCTGCATGGGTTAGAGTACTTTCTTTCCCTCATACTAGTTGTACCCCCTGGGGCAAGTTATATAACCTCTGTGGGCCTCAGCCTCCTCTTCCTGAAGGGAACCACTCTATAGGAAATAGGAACCACACACAAGGCAATGCTGAACTTAAACTGCTGTACTGTGATCCTTGGAAACCTACCCTCCAGAGTGCTGTAATTGGAAATTAATTTTAATATATCAGGCACTCACAGGGGGACCTAGCACCTCATAAGAATTCTGTAAGGCAGGGCTGGGTGGGGTGGAGGACAAAAGTCAAAGTTTGGAACACCAGCTATGCAACTTGGGAGTGCTGAGATCTTAGATAAGGTCCTTTACTTAGCCAAGCTTTGGCTTTTCTATCTGTAAGTTGGCATGTTCATCATATCTATCTTCCAAGGCTGTTGGAAATATTAAGTGCAATAATGCGTGTAAAATCTGCCTCACAGGGCCACTGGGACTATCAAGCCCAACAGTGCATTTGAAATGTGTAACGCAATACCTGTGGGAAGTACATAGTACCTTAGCCATTTCCATCATTACCAAAAAGCCAATCTGCCTACAGATACCTGTTATAACTTAAGTTTAAAATGTCCCCCTAAAGTCTCATTGTTATGGTTGAAACATTGTGTCAACTTGGGGAGTCTAGAGGTTTGCCTAAGTAACTCAGCAGGAAGGCAGGATACTTACTTTGTATATATCCTGAGCCTGTTGCAGAGGAGGGCATGGAGATTATGTGAGAGCTACACGCCCCTTAGGTGGGGGTAGCTGTTTACAAAGTAAGGCAGGGGAAAAAGTGCTGCTTGCTGCCATTCCTCCGTTTTGCTCTGGCTGTTTGCTGTTCAGCTGCCATTCCCCCTTTGCTCTTGTTGCTTTGCTACCTTCTGCCTCAGAGCCAGCCAAGTATGGACTGAAACCTCCACAAATTGTAAGCTAAATAAACCTTTCCTTCCTTCATTTTGGGCATTGGGTATTTTGTCTCAGCAACGAGAGAAAAGTAACCAAGACACTCATGTATTTGAAAAATGATTGGATCATCAGGGTGTTATGCTTATCAGTGGATCCATCCACTGGTGAGTTCAGTAGTTCATGCGCTGTTGGAAGTTTGGGCCTATTTGGAGGAGTAGGTCACTGACCATGACCTGGAAAGTTATATTCTTGTTCCTGTCCTCTTCCTTCTCATACTTCTTCTTCTTCCTCTCTCTTTCCATTTTTTTTGGTGGGGGTACTGGGAATCAAACTCAGGACCTTGTGCTTGCTAGGCAGGTGCTGTGCCACTGAGTTACATCCCCAGCCCCACCTTTCTCTCCCTTTCTCTCATTCTGTCTCTCTCTGCCTCCCTGACTGCCATGAGATGAGCAGCTTTTGTCCACCATGCCTTTCTGCCATGCTGTTTTGGCCTCAGAGTCAAGCAACCATTGACTGAATCCTCTGAAACCGTGACCCAACATAAATCTCTCCTTTAAGTTATGAATGTTGAGTATTTTGTCCCAGCAACAAAAGTGACTAGCACATTGCCTCCTTGGGGCGGTATGTTACTCTCTCCAGGCCTTTGTTAGGGCTTTACTTAGCAGGGACACAGAAGTGGCTGGGGAAGAAAAGTGAGAGCCACTTGAGTTTGAGAGTCCTATGGGAAGATGTCATCCACTTTCAGAAATGATAGCTGTTCCTCAGCTGGACTCTGCTGAACTAGAGTGCAGAATATAGTCTCTAGAGACTGTTGATCTCATTGGAGACCTGACCCAGCCTCTCACTGACTGTGCAAAGGAATTCTGGGTACATTCCTTCAGTTTGGTGCTATTCTCCTGATTTTAAGAAGAAGATTCAGACATGCCTACCTCTGAGGTTTGCCATGCATATCTAGTGAACTCATCCATCCTGGTACCTGACAAGTACTCCACACTCATCACCTTTTTTACCAGAGCCACTGAGCACCCACCTCCAGCTGCTGCAAAATGATGAAGACAAATTCTCCAGTGTTGAGTCCCAGGTTCTCTGCAGCCAGCAGAATAATCTTTGCATCCTCTGAGCTGCAGATTAAGATGATAACTATAAGAGAGAGAAAAAGCCAGCCAGTTATACATGCTTGCATGTATGCATACTGTCTCTCTTTTTAAAGCCTAGCCTAAAGTCACTCCAAACAAGGCACAAACCTTTGCTTTTTATGAACATGCCTCAAGAAATAGCAATGTCAAAATAGCAATGTCAAGCCAGCGCACCTGTAATCTCAGCACTCGGGAGGCTGAGGCAGGAGGATCGTTGAGAGTTTGAGAACCAGCCTGGGCTACAAAGTGAGCTCAAGGCCTGCCTGAACTGCATAGCTAGACACTGTCTCAAAAAGACAAGAAATAGAAATGTCTAAACCACCCCCAGAGTATTTATTTCTTAAACCAAGTCCACAATGCACAAACTGGCCACTTTTGCCCTATAGAAATTGAAGATTTTATGGCAGCCCCTGCCCCCTGCCACAATGCACATGTCTAAAAATTTTGAGATCATTTCTGTGCATTATTTTCTTTCATTTAACTCCTCAAAAATAATGAGATAGGTCTTCCTTGAATGGGAAGAGGATCAAGAGATGCAGGGAGGATGTGGGGGAGGGAAAGGGAATGAGAAACGGAATTAAGATCTGCTGTGTACATGTAGCAACTCCATGCAAGCAATGTAAACATCATGTACTGCAAGCATGCAGAAATACAAATAAATTTTAAAAAGCTAGAAAGTAGGCCTGGTTTGTGATTCATCATCTGTGCATCAGTCAGGAGGGGATCATGTAGAATCTCATATCAAGACATTCCTACTTTCTGAGCTGGCATGGGCCCCAGAGAAGTAGCCATGGCATCACTCTGTCATTCAGTCACAACATTCACTTTGAGGACGTACAATTGAAATCATGATTTTTTTTAGATTAGGTAAAAATGATAATCTATCTAAATGCCAACCATGTGTTAGGCCCTGTGAGAGGCTACAGCAGGAGCAAGGCAGGAAGGCCTGGGGAGTCACAGACAGACAAGCGGTACACAAGCAGAAAGGCTAAAGCACTCATTTAAGGCTCTCCTGGCAGCAAGGGAGGAAAGGATGCTGTGTTCTAAAGCGGGAAGGAGACAACCCCACATCAAATAGAGAAAGTGCATCTGGAGAACAGGGGAGTGCTGGTGGGGTGTGGCTGTGGATGACACTCTATGAGATGAGTAATTGGCAAGTCTTAGAGTCCTGGGGGCCATAAAGAGCTTAGTTTATTTGAAGAACAGAGTCAGTGACTAAGAAAGACAGCCCTCTAAGCAGCACCACCATGGAAACAATCGCTGCCATCTGTTGACAAGTTGCTTGTCCACGCAGGCCGGGCACTTTCCATGCATGACCCTACTTAATCCTCACCTTTATATGAAGGAGCTAGGACGAGATAAGGTATCTCAGGCATAAAGAGGTTAAAGTGTTGGGCCAAGAGCACACAGCTGGCAAGTGTCAGAGGCTGAAATCAAACCCAAGTGGGTCTGTCTCCAGAGCCCATGCTCTGAACAGCTACCAAAGGCCAGGACCTGGCCCCGTGGAATGTGCTTCTAGAGCTATTTTCTGCATCGTGACATTATAGCACCTGACATTTCACTTTAGATTTTATGGCAGCCCCAAAAACAATAGGTGATATCAAGCAAATTAGGAAATTGCTTTTACCTATTAATTTTATACTCTGTTTCTATTGGATTTTATACTCGTAGAAAAATTAAGAGTTCTTGGTTTTCTTTTTTCAAACATCTGCTTGTCCTATTCTCTCTCCAAACATGAGCCATGGAAAGCTGTGCCACTTACCCCTGGCCAGTGATGACATGTTTCTGAGGCCCTCCTGGAGGAGGGCTGGGTCATGGCTGGTGTATCTCATGCTGGCAGTGATGATGAAATGCGACTGAAGTTCTTCCTCTACAACCCTCCACAGCTCATCCAATTCATCCCAAGATGAAGCCCCAGAGTAGCTTCCAAACATGCCAATGTGTCTCCAGCCCAGGTATTGGAGACTTTTCTGGAGCACATCACCAATTTCCTGCTTGGGTGGCACAAGTGTCACACAGGTGTCGTACAAGTAATGGTTTTCCAGTATCGCCATTTGTCCAACAAAGTCAAACATGGGGATGTTCCACTCAGAGGCCAACAAGCCAATAACCTTGAAAGTAATGGAAAGTACATCTTCGCATAACGAAATTTATGCTACACTCAAACCACAGTATAAAGTATCAGCACGACCTGGGACTCAGTAAATCTTGGATCACACTGGACCTTCTTTTATGGAATGTTGATGATAAAGTGTCGAGTCTAATTTGCAGAAGCAAGACTGCAGAGGACAAGGATAACAAAGGCAAGGATTTGCCGAGTGCTTGCTCTATGCTAAGCACTCTACTAAGAACCTATCTATTGCGACTTTTATATCATTTCTATTATCATCAGTCTCACTTTAAAAATGAAAACATGGAGACATGAAGATGTAAGTTACATAGCTGAGGAACAACACAGCAGTGTTGGAATTCCAGTGATACACATTTTTCATTAGCCTCGTACTTTACGAGGAACTTTGCAAACCTTGTTCTTAAAGAAGCTTATGGCCTACAAGGAACTTAGATATATGAAAAGAGTAATAGAATTAAACATAACCTGCAGAATCTATAGAATATACTTATAGGAATCTAGAGAATGAACAAATTACTCATAATTGAGAAATTAGGGGTATGGAGGGCAGGGTGCCATGACACTCAAGGTTGACTTTGAAGAAAAAGTAGGCTTTGGACAGCCAGAAATATGCCAAAGAGTGAATTCTAAAAGAGACCAAGATTCAGATTAAAATGCAAAAGTGAACCTAGTTTTACAGCACCAATTAATGATAATCTGCAGTGTTTGAGCAGGGAGACCTGTGAAGCTCCTACCTGGTCCCCATTTGCATCAACATCTCGCAGAAGACATGATACCTGAGGACAGCAACAAGCTTCATCTCACTGACCAAATACAAAGCACTCATTTCCCATCAACCAGAGAAGGAAGAGGGGCCATGAACGAACTGCTTTTTATTTGAAAAGCTTTCTTTAAAGAGAATGTTATCTGTTCTAACTACATGGTATAACTTCATCTAAAAAATGGTACCCAAGACTTACATAGTTATTGTTACAACAATGTGATCTTTGTCAAAAGATTATTCAGATCTGTGCTATCAAGTTCAAGACCATCTCTTCCAATGGAAACTCTGCCAATCTTTTTTAGAAGGCTAGGTACTCTACCTTGGCTGCTTCTGGGCACGCTGGTCCAAACAGGGCAGAAATCTGTTCTTTCTGCACCTGGTTGATGAAAACAGCAAGAGACTCCTTGGCGCTGCAGGATGAGTTGGTAGAAGTGAACTCCCAGCTGAAGTTTCCAAGCCCCATTGGCTTTGCGTTGACCTTGTCCATGGCAATCTGGAGGCCTGCCCCGAGTTTCTGCACACTGAATGGGTAGGAGATGTTCCAGGGGGCATGGAAGCCCACAGTAAGTTTAGCTGCTTCAAGGCAAGTCACCAGCATAGAGGCAAACAGCATCAACACTAGTGTCATGTGGTCTACATGACATTCAGTCCCCCAACAAAGCCTTGCTTCTAGAGAAGCCTTGGGACCTATCCTGGGAGCCATGGATGGCATCTAACACAAGGCACTGCATAACAGTGAGAAGCTCAGCCTCCTGACTACTCTTGCCAGGAACTTATAGGATAGTGAACAGTTCCCTGAGGACCACAACTTGCTTTCTATTCAGTGCCCCTAATTAACTGAAAGTCTTTCTTCCGGAGTTTGTCCTAACATGATCCAGAAGCAGCAGATTTTCAGAAAGAGGCAGTACAGGGAGTCATCAAGGCCCTGGTTATTGATCCAGTGACTCCATTCACAACCATTGTGTTCCTGGGTGAGTCACTCTGACCCCTCTCTCACCCATTAAGTAAGGGTCATGGGAGCCACTCAAATGTTGTCAGGTGGCCTGGGCTAGAATTTCGACTGTATCAAATGTTACTTGTGCAACCTAGGATATAGTACTTCCCCTCTGTAAAAATGGAGATAAACCATAAGGAAGTCTTCCCTAAAGTGATAAGTTGAGGATTAAAAGAGATCATGCAAGTTAGACCTTGGTGAAATGTCTGCTCAAAGAGCCATTCCATTGATGATTTAGTGGTGGTGATGATGATGATAATGATGATGATAGTTAATAGTGATGAAGAACATCATGGTGATAATGACAATTATTATGATTTATTGAATCTACTTTATAGGAGCTTTTCCTAGATAGTGTGATAATGACTGTGAAAAGATTTACTCATAACCAAGCATGGTCTATTTCCCTTGCCGGGGTTTTGGACACCATGGACTGGCTACTCACAGATGAATAGTAATATTCCACCTACGTGAATCAAGAACAGCTCTTCATAGTCTGATGGGTCACAGGGATGGTGGCACTGTGGGGAAGCCAATGCTATCCCCAAGCATGAAAGGCCTACTTGCAAGCCAGATATAGTCTACAGGGCTGAACTCTCATCTGTCACGGACCTTCTTATGGATTTGTCTAGAAACTAGGGGCTGGCATATGACATTCATCTCAGGATTAGGCATTTTGGCATGGCATATTTTCTGTGATTCTCAAGGCTTGGTCTATAGCAGTCTCTCCGGTGTTAGAAATGTAGATTTAAAGGCCTTCTGAACTAGAACATTTTGAGATAGCTCTGGGAATCTGCTTTGAATCTGTCTTCATATATCCCTAAATCAACTAATTTTGAGAAACCCTGACAGTCTAAAGTGAGAGGGAAAGAATAGCCAATAGCTGCTGTCTCTTTGTTTTCCTTCAGTAATGAGCCTCTCAAATAGAACTAAAGGCCCTTCGTTCTGGTCTATCTCAGAGGGACATCTCTAAATTGGTGGAGCATGGAGCTTACTTTCCTCCAAGTCAGATTCAACATAACTGCTTCGTCACTGAGCTACAGCTTCCCTACATTAGTCAACTTGCAAAATTCTGAGCAGAAAGCTTCCTTGCTCTGATACAGAATTCAATGGATATTTTTTGGCTTAGATGTATATCGATGATACTATGTAGTTTTGGATGAGTCAGTTAAATCTCTGCCTCTGTTTCCTCAATTTTACAATAAGCATAATATATCCTTCTCAGAATGATATTGCAAAACTACTGCAAGATTACATTATTAGCACACCACCTCATACAGCATTTGTAGGAACTGCTCAGATTTAACCTTGTTAAAAGAGAGCTGTGAACGGATATGTCATTACACAAACCATTATCTCAAAATTATAATGCTGGTAACTATACTATTACACATGTATTTCCACTATGCATACCTTGATTCTTTGCGCATTTGGATTGACTTTCTCTGAGAATCTTTGAGGCCAAGTAACTGCATATCTATCTTTGGAGGCTCATATCCAGCACAGTGTTGGACAAGCATACAAATTTATTTGTATATGCATACAAATTTATACTAATCATAAATATAATCATAAATATTTTGTGCTCTAAAGTGTTTACAAATGAGTATAGCCAAAATCAGAAGGTAATACCAATGGTGTCTGCTGTTAGTGGACATTTAAGAAACAGATTTACACTGCTAGCGGCAGTTTTATTTGTAGCAGTTTTTCAGTTTTTCAATAACATTCCACAAACCTTAAGAATACGTGCATCTTTGACTCAGAAATTCCAATTTTGAGGGCTGATTCTAAATGAATAAGATGATAACAGATTTAATCCCAGTTTTATTTCCAAAGGTGAAAAACTAGACAGAAATCTTTTAGGGGCCTGGATAAATGTGACCCTATAATCATTCAATCTAACAATCATTAAAAATGATTTTTCAAAAAATTTGGTACAAGGGCTGAACCCAAGGCTTCATGTTTGCTAGACAAACCCTGTACCACTGAGCTAAATCCTCAACCTCAAAAATGATATTTTAGGGAATGGAAGTTATGGTTAGTGTTTTCCCTTGCTTTGCTTATTTTGTTTTATATTGTTTTGCCTTAACATTTTCAATAAGGAAGGAGTGATGTTTTAATTAAAAAATAAACCCTATAGACTTGTGAAGTAAAATCACAGGGCATTAAATTCAGTTCCTTAACTAAGGCTTAATTGGGCAGGTAAGGAGCAAGCCACACTCCCTGGGGCTTTCATACTTCTGGACCCTTGGTTTTCCTCTGTAGGCCCTGATTATGCTCCATTGAGCTTAGCTATTTCCCCTTTGCCCTCACAGGGACAGAGAAACAGAGACACAGCTGTCCAAGTAATGGCTATGCCCAGCTGGAAAACTTTTTCTCTGATTTGCTTCATCTGGTGGATTGAAAAGGCCTGAGATTAAAATCAGGCTAGGGGGTGTCATGAGGACTGTAGCTGCTGAGATGGCTTGCTGTTCTTCACTTCTCCGGTCCACCTCCTTCTAGAAAGTTCTTCTGCCTACAAGCTACCAATACTACAGTGGTTCATGGTAGAGGCTGTGTTACTTCACCAGATGATCCCCTTGAAAAAAAGTGGTCTGAGCCTTCCCAGCAGAGGTTCAGAGCCTGCTCCCTATGTCAGGATGGATCATTGATTCCTAACTACTTTATTCCCCTTTACTGCCTGCAGAGACACTTGCGGGGAGAGGGGTCTGCCCAATTTATGGTTTCCTCAATGCCGATCAGCCTGGGCCATATAGAAGACAGAGCCAGCCATTCAGCACTGGAGATTAGTACTGATTAGCTGTAACCAGGATGGTGGGGCTTTAATAAAAGCTCCAGCATCTTCATAGCTGGACTCCTGCTTATCCCTTTCCTGGCTCCAATTTGTAAATCAGTGGCCTACTCAGGCCTAGAAATAAGTGGCAGCGTGGAATGTGTCAGCTATAACTTTTCTAAGAAGGTGAAAGGCCGAAAAAAGTTTTTTCGCCTACTTGGAATGAGGTGAGATATAACAGACAAGTCTGTAACAACCTGCAAGAGAGGTAAAAGCAAGAGGTACACACTCCCATCTCCTGGTGTGTTCCGGGAAAACGCATCAACTTCCGGCTTCCCTGAACCAACAAGACTGTACAAGCCTCCATTCCCATATCCGTGAAGTGGAGAAATGGCAGAAGACAGGGATCTCAGATCTTACTCCTAAGAGCCCAAGGCTCTGGTGGATTCCTGAATATTACTGGGTGTCCTTCTGGTTTACAGATCTGGCTTACAAGTTTTTAAAGGGAACATTCTTCTTTTTTTTTTTTTTTTTTTTTGAGATAGGGTCTCACTATGCAGTTCAGGCTGGTCTTGAACTCACCTTGTAGCCCAAGCTGACCTTGAACTTGCAAAGATCCTGCTGGCTCAGCCTCCCAAGTGCTGGGATTATACGCATGCACCACCATGCCCAGCTCTTAAAGGGAACATTCTTGAAGGTACAGTGGTACCTTGGCTCGTGAACTGAATTCTTTCCATGATTCTGGTTGCAAACCAGGTTGGACAAGAACTGAATCAAATTTCCCCATAAGGTTAACATTGTACCTAACCATTGAATTTGGGGCTTCTATTCAGCCAAGGTTTGAGGAGCTGAGGAAAGTGGAGTCAGCACTGAACGTGGATATCTTGTATGTTAGGTCTGCAGCAAAGCAAATTCCTGAGAATTCCAAGCCACTCCTTTAGATAATCATGCATGCCCACACTACTTCTGGAAGGCTGAGGTCAAGATACTGCCCTGGCTGACAGATAAGAACAGTCTGGTCTTGTTTCTAATAGGAATTGTACAAGAGGAAGAGATCCCCTCCCTCCTGCGGGCTCTACCTGCCTCTGTGCCCCTCAACTGTCTGATATTTACTCTGCACTGTTCAGACTTGTTTCCACAACGAATGAGTCTTTAATACCTGAGTGGGTACTTTGGAAAAGCTGGTGCTTCTAGTCAAGTTTTATACTTTTAATACTTTTAATAATCAAGTTTTCTCCCAGCCACTAATAGAATCTGAAATTTAGCAGATTGGCCTTGACTAAATGCCAGATTTCTGAATATTTACTTCTTAGTCTCTGACACTATCCCCCAGATTACTGTTCTACCCTTTCACCATAAAATCTCTCAGAAGACAGCAGGAAGGAGGGAAAGATGCCTGCTCCAGTGATCAGTATTCAGTGACACTTAATGGTTAGCAGTGATATTATTAATTCCAAGCCACTTCCCACACAAATTTAGGTTTTCTAAGAATCCTTTGTTGTCATAATGTCCCGTACACTGGGTGAACAGAACATATCTTAATACATCTTTCTCTGCTGATGATATGATTTTGAACCATGAGAATGTTTCTCCATCTGCACCAGTCTGTGACCTGTGTGTCACCAGGCTTGGCGTCTGGCCCTTCTCTCTGGTGTACAGCCATCTAGCATCAGGCAGGATGTCCCTTCTGGCTCCACTACCCTCTTCATCGTCTTGTCTGGAGACACCAAAGCCCTCCCACTTCCTGGAATTTCCTCTGCTCTTGTTAAAGGCTCCCGACTAGTTTTCCAGGCAGGCACTCAGGATGACTCTCCCTAAGCTGTGAGACCAGGGAACCAAGGCTGCAAAACAAAGGATGATATATGTAAAGGATTCGGGAGAAGAGAGGTCTTGGCATCCACTCAGGGTACTGGTGTTCCTGCTTCTGACCCACAATCAATGGCTTCTCGCCACTACTGTCCTGTAGGAGGTGTACTGAAGAATGCTTATCAGCATCAGTTTTGCAATGAGACTTAAGCTGGTTTGCACAAGTTACATATTGTCTGAACCTCTGTCTGTTCGTTTGTTATCGCCCTAATGACCTGTATGAGGTTTAAATGGAGACATATGACATACAGCATGGTGTTGCAAGGAGCTACTATTGCCGTCAAGAAGAATACAGACTGTTGGGTGGGTGCTGTGATCAGCCGAAGGAACCAATTACGGTTGATATGGAATCCAGAGGAATGGGTAAAAGACATCTCTGATACAAGTTTCTGAAGATGCCTGGATGTATAGGTTCTAATGTACACGTGCACCTGCAAATAGCTGTCAAACCGTCAATGGGATGCCGAAGCTCTGGTTAGTCACTGGGAAGAGCAAAAAAATCCAAGTCCCTGCAGCAGGTGCAATAGGTTTGTTTGTCCACTGAGTAGCGCTACCTTGTGCTTATGTTCTACGGGCATTAAGTCGAAGAACTTTTGGCTTCTAAATCATATAGACCAGTGACAGGGAACCTTCCAGAGAAGACACAAATAGCCCACTGTGGCGTGTATGCCATAGGTTCACCACCACTGGTATAGACACATAGGTCATTTGAAACTTTGTAGAAAACACGTTTAAAAGAGTTAAAGCACTGGTATTACCTATCTAATATCCTAAATAGTATCATTCCTAAATATTATCATTTTGATATTTTTAAATTGAAATTTTAAGTCATTGTCTTTATACTAACTCTCCAAAATTGGGTGTGTATTTTGTAATTAAATGCATCTCAATTCAAACTTACCTCATTTCAAGTGCTCCGGAGTCATATACAGGTAGTGGTTATAGCACAGAATCTAAATCTTCACTCTCAATGCTTTCTCAACTTGCTGTTGAGAAAACAGCAGTGTCTCCTATGAGTTGTTAAAAGTTTGGGGAATTTGGAAGTTAACACCTCTCAGAGACTTTATACTTTGCTTCTGATTTTTAAAACTACACAGATAAAATTTATGTTTTGCAGTACCTATACACTGTGGAGTAGTTGAAGCCAGCTAATTAACAAATGGCTTTCCTCACATAGTTATCACTTTTGTGATGAGAGCACAACATTTACACTCTGCATTTTTCAATAATACAATATATGATTATCGGCTACAGCCACCATGCTACACAACTGATTTAGTGAATTTATTCTTCCTGCTTAACTGTAATTATAGATCCTTTGGCTATCATCTCCCATCCTCCACCCCCCTCTCAGCCCAGCATTTTACTCTGTAATCCCATGAGACTGATTAATTTATTTAGCTTCCACACATGAATGAGAACATGTGGTATTTGTCTTTCCATACTTGGCTTATTTCACTTAACATAATGTTCTTCAGTTTCATTTATGTTGTTGAAATGACAGGATTTTATTCTTATACTCTTAAGTCTCTCTATATCTTCATAGTAGTCCATTGTGCATATATACCACACTTTATGTATGGACATTTAAGTTGACTCTATACTTGTATATTGTGAGTAACAACACCACATGTATAGAAATGCAGATGTCTCTTCAACATACTCGCTTCATTTCCTTTGGATATGTACCCAGAAGTGGGATTGTTGCATGCCCATCTAATTCTTAATGCCCTTCAGAAGCTCTTGCAGAAAAAGGAACAAGTTGCCTATGTCCCCATGTTCCAATCTTGTTCACTCCATGACAGTGAGAATTATAGTATTTATGTGATTCAATAAATCCCACAAATGGCTGCCTATCAGGGCCCCCTGTTAGGGTGAGGGAGGGCAATTTGCTTCATGTATGTGGTTTGGGGAATCGGAGGTGGGTAGTTGGGGTTGGAGTAAGTTTTTTACTGCAATCCGTGCAAACACCGTTCTTGTCAGTCAAGTGCCTGTGCTTGGCTAACACTTCCTTCCCACAAAGAATGAGCAAGTGGCCTCAAGAACGTGCGTTCCCAAGCTATTGCTGTCAATGACTGAAACTGAAAGAAACAAGCACCTACAGGTGTGGAGCAGTGCAGTCAGCTTCTCTCTTGTGCTCAATGAAACTCCATTGGTACAGAGTTCACAGAGGGACCCCAAATGGTGCTGTGGGTACTCAGGCACTGAGGGTGGGGAGAAGACTTCTCAACTAAACCATGTGGTTCATGGGCCCCTCCAGTCAATAAAGCAAGGTTTCATTCAGGAAATGAGCTCAGTGTCAGGAAGAATGTCCAGGCTGATGGAGGCCCTTCAAAGGAGTAGGGAGGTTGCTATTTTTCTACCTTCAGTATCAGGCCCAATGGCTGGTATTGGGTCCTGCTTCCCTAGATCAAGGGTTCTTATGGTTTTTTTTTTTTAAGAAACCCATGAAAATTCCCAAGACAAATGCATATACAAGTACACAACGTTAGGAAGGAAGTTATGGAGTAGACGGAGTTTAACGATGGATATGTTCTCGGGTTTTAGACCCAAAACTCTCTGAGCTCAAAATTGAAGCCTGAGATTCTGTCAGCTCTTAACTATGTATCTCGGGAAAGTTCCTTAACCTCTTGTTTTGAAGAGCAATAGTAATCTCTGCATAGGTTTGCTTTGAGGCTAAATTTAGAACTTCCAGACAAAGGTGCTGCTGTCATATTGTAAGCGCTCCATTATGTTCACCATAGTGACCATCTAGAAGGCCTGCAAAGAGGATGTGGCATGAGAACCTTTGACTGCTACCCTGGAAGCTGCACTTTGAGTGTCATTAGCTTTTTGAAATATCAGATAACCAGGGAGAGGGTAAGTATGAAATTCTGATGGCCAATGATGGCACCCTTCCTTCTTAAGGGAAAGGCTAAGGAACTTTGCCCCTTCCTTTCCATATCTCAGAGAGGGATAAACTTCAGAGTCAGCTCTGCCATGTGGGAAGCTAAAGGTCAGTCTATCCCAGTTTATTTTTGCCCACTTACCGGCATCACAATTTTTGTCCTACTAGTCAGCTAACTTGAGGGAGGGCTGCCTCACTTCCTTTCTGATCCATCCTTACTGTGTTTATCCTTACTGTGTTTAAGTGAGTAGATTCAGCCTACCATTTTAGGGCTCTGGTCCTCTTTCCCTTTGGACCATGCTACCTGACTTGAATCAGTGATAGGCAGCCTAAGAGCCTTCTTAAAGTGATGTTCCCCACACCCCACACATCCCAGCTCCTGCAGATATCTTGTGCTTTCTCTTTTTCTTATCCTGCACCACATCTTTGCTCTTACCTAAAATGCTTCTGGGACGCATTTTGCAGGTATTCTATAATCTAAATCCAATGAACTCATCTAAAGAAGGGAACCTAGAGGTTCAAGATGAATTTTCTAGATTGTAAGGAGGAAGGTCTTTTTATTTTTTTTTTTTTGGTTTTTCTCCGGTACCAGGAACCGAACTCACGACCTTGCACTTGCCAGGCAGGCGCTTTGCCGCTGAGCTAAATCCCCAGCCCCAGGAAGGTCTTTTTAAAAGGAGAAATTTTGTTTCCCTTTACAAGGACTTCACTGGCTTCAGTACTGTCTGGAAGCTGAAACCATCCTCTCCAGTCTTTAAATAGTACTTGGTGCCCTGACAGACTCATCCCCCACCTGCTCTGCCACAGCTCCACTCCAGGAAGAAGGACTGCTTTTTAGGGACAAGCTACAAATCCCTTGGCTTTCAAAAATAGCCTGAAATTATAAAAAAATTTAAGCTTGCCCTCCATTGCCCTATGACCAAATTACAGGTTTTCCAAGAGCTAACACAACCTAAGTTGCACTTCTCATCTGCACAAATTCTAGCTACCATCCAGTTGATGGTGAGGGTCAAATGAAATGCTTACTTTGGGGCCTGGCTGCCATCATGGGAAGGTTTGGATAGGGGGAAGGTGTTGTCTACGCTAACACCTCACAGCTGTCCCAGGAGGGAGTCTGGAAGAGTTTTCTAAACTGAGAGGCGCTGCATAGATGCATAACGGGGCTCTGTGAAGTTGGTCTGTATGTATTGTTTGTCCTTCCCTGCTTTCAAAACCTGGGAGAAACCTGTTCTCTGCTTCTGAAGAGCTGCCAGCACCTGTCCTAAGAGGTATCTTGGCTGTTTCCAGACTGTTACAAAACTCCAGAATGTTAGCCTCCGGTATTCTAGAACTGTTGTATAATGAATGTGTGATCGCTTTGTCCATAAGAAAAGGGAAAGACAAAGGAAGGGATATGTACACCAACCATGAGAGCACCATGTGCGAACGTGAGCTGGAATTGAGGGTTTTGGTCAGACACCTCAAACCTCAGGCCCCTCACATGTGAATGACCTAATTAGAGCCTAACAGCAAGAGTTCTTACCTTTTTCTCAAGAAAGCCATGAAAATTAAATCTAAGAAATTAAGGTTTATACTTTTTAGAGACTGTAGGATGATCAACTCTAACCAGATTTTTTCAGTTATTAGTTTCTAAATGTATATAGCTGTGGGGTTGGAGGAAAGAAGAAAAGGTGCTGCAAAGAAACCTTATCCAATACATGAGTTTTTAAGAGATGTTCCAGAGGAAACAATGGCTTATTAAGAGATGGTGCATCCTTCTAGAGCTCTGGAGACCTGGGCTCTGAACTGACTTTCCTCACCACATCACATAGCCAGCTCCTTTACCATTGGAGTCCCAGGTACCCTTAAGAAGGAAATGTAGGTTGTTAGACTGGGTGGTGCTACCGTTCACCTACACTAAGCCCACTTAGTTTATCTACTTGTGATGCCATGGGACAGTTACATCCATGTAAAAGAGAAATGGACAGGAAATGGAAGTGCCCCCTGGGCCTTGGCCTGCTGGATGATTTTGAATAAAACCTCTAGAACACAGAGGGTGTTTGTTTTGTGTTGAGTTGTCCCCTTAATGGTGTGGTCTACATACCTAAAACACTATTCCTTTTGACATTTCAGTAGTTGGGTCCATTTCAGGCAGAGTGACAGTATGAAACAATGACATGACCATTGTGGTTCCAGTTGGGTCACCAGAACAGCAGTGTCCATACCACCTTCTCAGCACTGCTAGAAGTTCAGATTCTCAGGCCGCAAGTTTCTCTGACGCAGCCCTACTGAGTCAGAACTCAATATGGCCTCAGCAAACCATGTTGTAACAAGCTCTCCCAGGGATTGTGATGCTTACAGAAATTGGGAACCATTGGATTGGTCAGGCTCAAGTGTGGCATTAGAGGGTGTTCAGTGAGTTGCTACTTAACGAGACTGAGCATTAATCCATGTCCCCAGTGCCTACTGAATGGTACCCTCTTCAGTTACATTTTAGAAGCTCCTTTCCTCCAGTATTAAGGAAGGGCTAGCACTCTGTTGGAAGAGGCAATGTTCAAGAGTCAATGAACCTACAACCTTGGTAAGAACCTGGCCTAGGACCTCTATGGTAACGAGCTCACTGCTCTACACAGGACTCAGCAGGAAGTGGTGCTGGCTTCTAACTTTGACACTGACCACCTGACAAATATAGTAAGAAGAAATCTACTGCAGCATTTCCTCAAATTTCTGCAGGCCTGCGGCACAGAAAGTGCTCAAGCGTTGAAGATTTGCTGGAGGTTAAATGTGTACTCTCCGTTGGGGCAGCACTAGAGAGGGACACAGGAATGACAGCTGTTGTCTGTGGGGCCCTGTGGAGCTGGCTTGACTACCATCTACCTGGTTATGTGATTCAAGTGACTTCTTTCACCCGAAAAGGCTCACCTGTAAAACACAGGTTGCACACAGCTTGCAGGGCATCTTTATCTCTGCCCACCATTTAGTAATGCACTGCGGTCATTTCCCAAAAAGAATAATTTTTAGCTCCTTTTTAATTTTCTAACTAATATATGTTTGCCATACATAATAAAAAGAAAACACACGATATTGTTTCTATGTCTGAATGTATTTCACTTAGCATTATTATCTCAAAGTACATCCATTTTCCTACAAATGACTCAAATTTATCCTTATAACTTTATGACTGAATAGAAGTCTACTATGTAGGTATATATACACCACATTTTCTTTATCCATGCATCGGTTGATGGACCTATAGGCTGCTTCAAGATTTAGCTACTGTGAGTTGTGCTGCTGTAAAAGTAGGTACACGTGTATCACTGTAATATGATATTTTTAACTGTCCCAGAAAGATGCTCAGAAGAGACAGAGCTGGATAAAAAGAATTTTTAATTTGAGTGTTTTGAAGACTCTCCATACTGATTTCCATAGTGGCTGTACTAGTTTACCTTTCCATTAACAATGTAGAAAGGTTCCTTTTCCCCCAAAACTTGGCAGGATTCCTTGTTTTTTGAAGTTATTGATGATAGCCATTCTTTCTGGAGAAAAATAGAACCTCAGTGCTGCTTTACTTTGCATTTCTTTGGGGTTTTTTCAATTTTTTTATTTGTACATGCTTACAATACACACAATTGCATTCCTCATGGGAGGTTAGTATATGTATATAGCACATCTTGTTTTTTATCCCCTATTCCCCTTTCGCCTCCCCTACCTCCATTTCTTGGGCCCGTTCACTTTTGCAAAAGTTCTATCTACCTCTTTCCTATTATCTGTTTTATTTTTTCTTTATTTATATTTGCAGATTCTCATATAACAGAAACCATGCAATATTTAAGCTCACTTGTCTGATTTATTTTACTTAATATTAGGGTCTCATATGAATCCATTTTCCTACAAACAAATCAATTTATCCTTGCTTATGGTGGTATTCCATTGTATATAAATACCACACTTTCTTTAACCATTCACCTGATAATAACAGATATAAGTAATGATAATGATAGCTATATAGGCTGTTTCTGAGATTTAGCTATTATAATTTATACTGCTACAAACATATGTGTTACTGTAATATGATGTCTTTAACTCTTTGGGGAAGATACCTAGAAGAGGAATAGCTGGGTCAAGTGGAATTTCTATTTTTACTGTTTTGAAGACTCTCCATACTGATTTCCATAATAGTTGTACTAGTTTACCTTTAATTGGTAATAGTTGTACTAGTTTACCTAGTTTACCTTCCCACCAACAATATAGAAGTGTTTTTTCCCCTGTAGCCTCTCCAGCATCTGTTATTATTTGATTTCTTGATGATAACCATTTTTTTCTAGAGATGGGATCTCAGTGGGGTTTTAATTTGTATTTTGCAAATGGCCAATGATTTTGAATATTTTTTTCATGTATTAATCGGCCATCTGCATTTCTTCTTTGAGGAAGTGTCAATTCACTTCAATTGCCCATTTTCATTGGATCTTTTGAGGGTTGTAATTTTTTTTAGTTCTTCACATATTCTGGATATCAGTCCTTTGTCCAAGAAGTAGCAGGCAAAATTCTTTCCCCCTTCTGGAGATTGTTTCTCTACTCAGTTGTTTCCTTTACACAGAATTTGGTGTAATCCCATTTGTTGATTCTTGATGTTATTTCTGGTGCAGCCAAGGTTCTGTTCAGAAAGTCTTTACCTGTGCCTCTGTCTTCAAATTTTACCTGTCTTATCTTCCAGCACACTCAGTATTTGTGTGTTTACATTTAAGCCTTGCTGTCTTAATGATATGGGAATCAAAAAATGGTGACTAGTGACTTCCTCATGGAAAGAGGACTGAGAACAGGCTGAGCTGTGAAGGGACAGCCACTCTGTATGTTCAGGGGCCTTGTCAGGCCACAGTGATCCATGTACTGCGCCCACTGTTCTGCACCCTCATCAAAGCACACGCAGGTTTGTCTGTCCTCTACACTCTAGACTTCAGTCTGATATAGATTGCTTGGAGACAGTTTCATTCTGGAGGGGACATGGTCCCACTAGAAAGCCACCCCCACCCAATGCAGACCTCTGCTAAATCCAATTCTTAATGTTACAGCTGGAGCCAACTAGAGTGGCTCTCTGTCCCTCTCTCTGTCTCTCTGTCTCTCTGTCTCTCTCTGTCTCTCTCTGTCTCTCTCTGTCTCTCTCTCTCTTCTCTCTCTCTCTCTCAACCTAAACTCAAAGAGTACTTTTTTCCTCCTCTTTTCTAGACCTATCTCCATCTGAAAGATTACACCAAAAATGTACATGCAAAGCCCATCCAATCCCTCCCCACCTCCTGAAATCTAGGCTTTATAAAAGATTTGTCTTGTGAAATGTTAGCTTTCAGAGCTAAAAGCTGTTTGTTTGTTTTTTTCCTTAAGTCTGTTGCACAACAATCTCTTATTTTAACCTTTTGCCAAATCCTGCACTTCTGTCAGAGGTTACTATGAGTGTTTGAACAGGTAACTTCTACCTTTGGACTTCGATTGCAACAGGTTCAAAGTTTCTAGAGGAGCTTGCTGAGCACCCTCCGATCTGGGCACAGTGGATCAAGGTGTGGCCCAGTCCTGGGAGCTGTGGAAAAGGCAGGAGGGACTGAATGCCGAGCTGAGCCGATACAGCCAGTTGTGCGAGGAGCTGCACCCAGGCTCCTGGTCAGATCCTGACGGTATTCCTCAGAGGTAAGCTACAATAATCCCAAATGCCCTATATTTTATACGTCTATGAGATATAATGGATGGGGGTGGTCCTGGAGAAGAAGGTATGAAGTGCATCTATGCACAGTTGAAGGCACTTTTATAATGTAAAATTACATTTGACCGAGTAGCGGCTAACTTGTATGTTGTCAAAACTCTGCAGACTTGTGTAGAAGCAAAGAAAGAGAGCTGTCTGGGTGTTAACAGGGGAAGGAATTGGAAGGAAATGTTAATTCTGCTAAATGTACTACAATGGACTTAAAACCTTTAAAGGTTCCATTCTGAAATTTCTGTCCCAGTTGGGTTAGAAGGGTCATCTACGAACTGTTAGTGGCAGAGACCCCCATTTGGAAGAGAGATGGAGAAAGAGATCCTTCTATTCAAGGCTGGGACTATACCAGGAACATGACATGTGCTACTTCCTTGGCTTGCTGCTTCCAGTGAGGGAGGTGGTATCATTCCCATGATACCACCATGATATTATAGATGAATAGTTTGTCTCTGGGCTGTCAAACAGCATGGCCTGGGCTACACAGTCAGGAAACGGCATGCCTAGTTTGAGCCTTTGATCAGCCTGTCTCCAGAGCCCATTCCATAACACAGAATTCTCTCATATTATCAAAACCTTCCTGTACTCTTAGAAACTGTGAGTGTCTCTTCTGTGTATGTAGGACTGGGTAGAAAGGTGCCTCTGATGAGACTTTAGAAAGACCCAGACCTCTCTGAACTTGAGCATTCAGTTCTGGAGGAGACTGATTTAAAATAAAAATAAGGCTCCTCTCCCACCTGCTTTAAGCCTTTAACTCTGCTTGGCAAAGACAATCCGCCTCCGGAGAAAGCCTGCAGTGTTAGAACGACCCAGGCTTAACATTTATTCTGCCCTCCATCCAGTACACTTTCAGGGAGGAAGTGACTTCTGATGAGGTGAGCTCCTGAAACTGAGCAAAGCCAAGGATTCCTCCAGCCATGAGATGTCCTCGCAGATGGAATGTCAGCAGGCTCTCCCTCCTTTCTCCCATATCCAGAGGGGGCTCCAAGGAGGCCAAGGGTCTGCCTGTACACATGTACTCCAAGATTGCAGCACCTTTCCCTGACTTTCAGCTGGGGGCTTTAAGGACCGTCTCTGCACAGGAAGAATAAATAGCGTTAGTGAACTGCTGTGAGCCTTCTTGGGTCAAGGCTGGGGGAGGTTCTGCTTAACTCCCCAGTGTCTGTGAGCTTGCAGGTGGGGATGCGAGGTGGGAAGGGTCAGGAGAACTGTTAGTTATTTCTGCCTGTAAGTCTGAGAGCTGAGACCCCAGCATCCCGCTGAGGCCATAGCCTTAGCTGAACCTTAGGTGGACTAACTAAAAGCACTACAGATCCTGGCAATACTGGGAAGAGAGAGAGAGGAATTCCTAACAAATTTGGAGGTGGGAGAGGCCAAGTTGGTACGTCAGCAGAAAATGAAGCATGTTAGCTTAATGACTCACTGCTGCTGTCACGCTGGACTTGGTTGTTTATTTTGTTGGCTCCGGGGATGGAGGCAGGCAGTTCTGAGGATGGGAGAGAGGGGTTCCCTGGAGAACAGAATGGATGACACGGTCTCAAGATGAATCTGAGGGCAGAGACCCCTCTAGCTGGACCTTCATAAGACTTTTGTATCCTATGAATCTAGCAAGGAAGGCACCTCCTCCACTTCTGTGACACTAGTGGTCCAAGAGGTACCTCATGGGGTTTGGGTTTGATCTTTCTCATCTTAGTTTACAGCCAGACAGACAAAGAGGTCAGGGTGGATTGTACTGAAGCAAACTGGCTTTTGTTTTCAGCCCTGAGGGGCTGGAGTTAAAGGCTTTGAAAAGGAGCCAGGAGCGCTTGGGCAGCTTCTTTCCTCGTGGTCACAATACTTCCACTTTCAGTTGTGAAAGAAAAACCAGGAAGTGAAGTCCCCGAGCACGTTAGAAAGCCCGGCCATGGCCTGACTCGGGACAGCTTAGAGCGGGACATAAGTGGAGACACTCAGACTGGCTGTCTGCCCGCATGGACACCCTGAAGACACCTAGTCCCTGGAGAAGCCAGGGCTGAGGAGAGAGGGACAGGGACTCGTGTGTCAGGAAAAGCGTGGCGCCAGAAAGCCCCGATCGCTGGAAACACCAAGGCACTCGGCCCCCTCTCAGGGTAAGGGAACATCTAGGGGATGATATACAGCAGGGGGTCTTGTGAGCGTGTGATAGAGGTATCCTGCCCCCCCCAACTTCAGCAAAGCAACTTGGGAGACTAGAGCTTGCTGTGTGTCCCGGGCATCTCACTCTCTCTCCCCCCAGGGCTCCAAAGGCCACCCTTGAGCCCTTTGGTCAGGATGGGCGAGAGGAAGGAGGCATTTGGGCATGAATTGGTTCTTCTCCTGCCTCTCTTAGGGAGGTTAGCTACAGCACAGATCTCTTTGGGGTGGGCGGCTGAGCACCTGGCCAGCTCTTCTGTGGTGGGCTGGGAGCTCACCCTCAATTTTCATTCAGCTTTGACTCCCTTTTATGGTAAGAGCAGGTAGATGAGAGTGAGGAGGTGGAAGAGACAAGTGGAAGGTTTCTGAACACAGTTGGATTTGTTTTCAGGAGTAGGGCCACACAGTTGGATTTGTTTTCAGGAGTAGGGCCACAATGGGGATGTGTGTGCAAGACCTTCAGGGAGTGAACCTTGGGAGAAGTTTGAGCTTGGTATTTTCTGTGGGTATCAACTGGTTTTTGGTGGTGTGATCTGAAAGGTGAGAGTGACTCTAAAGCTCCAGCTTGTAGGTGCTTGGTAGCCTGCAACAGAGGCAGAGCCTTAAAGAGTAATGAAATAAAATGAAAGACTGATTTAGTGTAAAGAATAAAAATGGGGTTACTGCTACAGCCTGACCCTTCCCTCCACCTTCTGGCACAGACTCACCCTGCGGAGGCCCCCTCCAAGTGAGACGTACTGCAGGCAAAAAGAGAATACATCTTGGGAGAGCCGTGGTCTAAGATGTTGAGGACATCACTTGTGCGCTTGGCCTGATAAAAAAAAACAAAAGCATAAAACAAGAATCATACATACAAGGACAAGCAGGTGACATAGATGAGTAAAGTAGATGGTGTGTAATGAGCTGTTTATGGGTGAGGTACTAACAAAATTCAGGCAGGCACACCCCGGATAAACACACCCAAGTTTAAATTAAAAAAAAAAAAATACCAGCCAGACCAAAGGGAATATTTCAGGCAAGCATCCGGCTAGCTTGCTACCTAGAGAAGTCTTCCCTCCCAGGCTATATTATAACTCTTTAGGATAAAGCCACCTAGAAAGATGTCAGTGTACCATTTTGTATCTATGTCCTACACATTCTGTGAAGGTCATGAACTATGAGTGGAGAGAGCGAAGCTAAAGCCAGTGAGGTACTAACAAATAGCAGGTACTCCTATTTAATCAAGACAATCTTTTGAGGTGGGTGATTGTGTCATTCTATGGATGAGAAAGTAAATAGGCTCAGAGAGGTAAAGCAACATCCTCAAGGTCACAAATCAAGTAAGTTGTCAAATTGGGCCTGAAACTACTGTCAGTGTGATGCTAAAGTGTTTTTCATCCACCCACATACAGGGTTAGCCTTCCTTCCCCGAAAATTTAGTTTGCAAAAAGATTTTTATATATGATGACCCAGATAGTAGGTATTTTGTTCACATATTTACAACCTTTGTTTCAGATCAAAGAAATTTTTAGAACCACAAATATTACAACTACTGTTCATTCAACATTTTCTATAAGGCAGTGCTATGCTTAGTGTTTTATGGGGATTTGACTTTTTGATTTTTTTAAACAGCCCTATAAAGTGGATACTTTAGTTCATACATAAGAAAAGTGAGGCTTAGCAATAAAGACCCTAAACACTCTAGGGTTAGATTGGATCTGGAAGTTAAACTGGTTCTTTTAGTTCTGAAGGTGATCTCTGCCTCAGTTTCTGATGAATCTAGTTTAGGACACAGGCCAAAGAATTAGGAGCTGGTAGAAACTTGTCCTTTGAAATCCTCCTGTCTCAGTTGAGACAGAAAACAGATTGGTAGTTGCCAGAGGTTGAGGGAGAGAGACATGGGAGCCGACTGCTTATTGGTTCAGGGTTTTCTTTGGGGTAATAAAAATGTTTTATAACTAGGTAGAAATGGTGGTTGCACAATAATATAAATGTGCTCAATTGTTAGAACTGATCACTTTTAAATGGTTAATTTTTGTTAAGTGAATCACACCTAAAAAATATCCTCCCACCTCTAGACAGGTGTGTTCCAAATCAGGATTTGGCTGGGCTTTTTTAGAAACCAAGAGTGCAGTCTCTGTGCTGCCTATCTCTCATGCTTGGCCAGCAGATGCACTGACCCTCCTCGGGTGTACCCAGAGGCGACTCCTGAGTATGGCAGAATGTGGCAAAGGTAGCCTGGTCCCAGCAACCATGAGCTTACCATCACGGTGACCACCACATTCCTCTGTAAATACGTCGAGCTATGCTTCTGCCCTTGATGTACGTGAATCCTGAGATCAAAAATGAGCTCTTCACCCTTGCACAAGGCCTGACATTTCCTAGGTTCTCAAATCCTAGTGACGACTTAATCAATATATGAGTTTTTGGAGTTTGAAAGGTCTGAGAACACTTGTACTGCAGTTGCCCAGCTCTGGGATGAAGCTTCTGTTAGAGCTGGTAATAAATCTCTCTTCCTCCTCCAGGCGTTCTGTTCTCAGGGTGGTGGGCTTGTGAGTGGTTTGTAGGAGGATGCTGGGAACGGAAAGAGGCCTGGGTCAAGATAAGACCATGTCTCCTCCAACCAGCTGTGCTCAGTTTAAGTAGAAACGAGGAGTTGTTAAGACTTTTGTATGTAAGTGGAATGAAGACCACGACCATCTCTTCTTTTGTAACAGAACATCTGATGCTAACAGAAGAAGGGAGAGTTCCTCTTTATTGAGGTCTTTATGCACCCAATGGTATACCAGATACTACACACATTATCTCTTCTGTGTGCAATTAAGGAGAACTGATGCTCAGTGACATTAAGTGACTGTGCTCAGGGCCACCTGGCTGGTAAATGGTGGAGTGGCTGCTCTGCCCTCTGGAGAAGGGATGGCCTTGAAAGTCTGCCTCTGAAAATAAGAGTATTGGTGACAAAGCTGGCTGAATGTTCTTTAAGTCTGGTGCTCTTGACCATTGGTCTAACCAGCTAGCATGCAAGCTGATTCTGCAAAGAACTGAGGCAGGAGGCCTCTTTCACAAGCTCTTGCATCACCTGGTCTTTATCCTGGCAGTGTTAGAGGGGACCTAGCACTTCATCCAGCTTATCTTTTTACAGACTTGCTTATCGAAGCTAGTGGACTTGTGATACTAGTTCTCCTTACCTTGGTTTTCTCATAATTCACTTGGTCAGCAATAGGCTTGGGGTGCCCTTGAGACTATTTAACTTGACAAGGCTTCCCTCAGGGTGGGGTTATTAGACTGAGATTTGTTTGAAGCGCAGTGGTAGATAAAGGTTGGTTGTACCAACCTGAGGGCCAGTGGGATTTGTCACTTCCTGTCTGCACCCCAAAGGTGGCACCACATCTATCCTATTATACTGAGGTAAAAGGGCCTTGGTATTTGACCTAACAAGGGTATCCTATTAAAGACCACTTAGGTCAGCTAGCCAAGGCATCCCCCTCCACAAAGTGTTTTCATGTTTGTGACCGAAATTGACTCCAGTGCTACAATGACTACACAAGACCCCGGGCAATGTCATTTTTACACTTCTTGGAGCCTTTATGTTCTTTTTTTCTTTTCAACTAACTATGGACCTGCCTTACATTAGAAATATCTCTTCACCATTTCCCACCCCTAAATGTCCCCCTTTTCTCTCATGTGTGCCTCTAGCCACATCTGGGCATTCCTCTTCTCCCCTTCCATGGAAGTTCATACACCCTAATGTGCTAACTGGTCTTCCCATGAAGAAGGCAGATAAGAGACAAGAGATGCCAGCTGAGAAAGATAGTTTGGTGCTACTGCCAAGGAGGGTTTGACCCCATATGCTAACAATGCAGTGCTTTTCTTGTTAGATAGACACAGAAGTCCCCAGAGCAGGAGCTATATATTCTGTCTGGCCCTCAGCACATAACAGTGCTGGACACAAGTCCAAGAACTTTGCAGTATTGAAAGTTAATGTATAAGTAACTTACAAATGCAGAGGGTAAACACATACTTCCCCAGTCTACCAAGGGAAGCCAAAGCAAGTGTGTCTCCTAGAACACTTGTCTCAAAGTATTATAACCAGTCTAGACTCCAAGTATGCTTTCTCCACTCTGAGCGTGCTGCTGGTGCACAGTAAGTGCTCGAATGCCCCAAGTGCATTTGTGATGAGTGAACCTGGAATTTGCTTAAGTGAGGCTTCTTAGAGTCACCCCTCATGGCATGGTGCCCCTAGCTCTGGCATTCCCAAGGAAAATTCGGCTGGCTCTGGTCCTTTGTAGGAGACTATTGTATTTCTTGTGAGACTGAATTTTGCAAGTAGAGCCTTCAACAGACTCCTCTCCCTTGTTGCCTTTCTCCAAATTTGTGGAAATGGCCAGCAAAAGGGAATAACTGTGGGTTCCCATTGCATCTAAGGTCCGTGCTGAGTGTGCCAGTAGGGCAACCTCTGGGCAGGAGCAAATATTACAGCACAAGGAGGAGATGACACTGAGTCACAAGGAGCCTCCCTGAGCCTCAAACCCAAGCAAAGAGCTAGTCATACTCCTTTTCTCACTAACTTCTTTAGCTCTGGTTCTGGCAGCTTTTCCTGTGCAATTTGGCGGCAAGATATCACCAGAGATAATCCTTAAAAACCCTCCTAGTGGATGTATGCTCTGCCAGCTGTTTTACAGATTAGTTCTACTGGGCTAGAGAGAGAGATGTGGGAGGTTAATCACTTAGCTTCCCCCCATCCTTTAATTATTTAAACAATTAAATTGAATTTTTTGTGGTGTGGAAATTACTGATCCCCATCCCCTGGCGTTTTAATACAGCTCCTTTGTGTAATACGGTTTCCCGGCTCTGCCAGGCGGGTATTTGAGGCAGTGCCAGGAGGCCCTTTCCCTCTGCCCGGGGACTTCCCCTAGTATGTGTGCTCCAAAGCACACTGGGAACCAGGCCCAAGGTGAAGAGAACCTGTGGCTGGTCACATGACTAGGATGAGACAAGTAATCAGGCTCATAGGTCAGGATCCTGCGCCAGCCTCTCCTCGGAGCTACTTGGAGTCAATGTTGAAAGGCGCACTTTCAGGAGCCCCTGACTTGACTTCTGTTGCGGCTTCTTATATGCCGGAGAAATGAATGAAACCGTTTTCCACCCCTGGAACCAGCCACTCCTCGGGCTGGAGTGCTCTGTGCCTGCCATGTATTGTACAAAGCAGCACGAGCACATGGCTGCGCATAGGAAGCGGGTTTGCTGGTGGAAACGCTAGGTTATAGGAAACAAATCTAGGGTACATTCCCAGGTGTATTCACGGGAAATGCACTCAGCTAGGGGCAGAACTTTTAAAGTCGGCTGCCTAAGCGAGAGGTGAGGAGTTGTACATATTATTGTCTGGTAAACAAAATGAGATACACATTTCAGGTTAAACAGTGCACCACCATCAAGGTTACTGTCCCACTGAGACCAACTCTAGCTTCTCTAATTAAAACTCATTTTCCTGCTGTGCCCCAGCTCCCTTTCCATGTTTATTTTTGTTGTTGCTGTCATTATTCCATTTTATAATAATCTACTCATTGTTCAGGCTTGTTGTCAAACTCCCCGCTAGAAAAAAAATCTCACGAGGACAGGATTTTTATTGCTGTAGTCTCAGCACCAGGAAGGGTGACTGGTACAAGTCCTTCAATATCTTTTTTTTGAATGGTTGAATACACAAAACTTGCAGGAAAATCCATTCTGAACTCCTCCTCCATCTGTCTTTTCCTGTGAGGATTATCCTTCCAGCAATGCAAATGCATATACACTCGTCATAATTGAGAATATACTGCACACTCACGCCTTCATGTTCTTTGTACTTGGCAATAGATCATGGAGCTGTTTTCATATCAATACATATAAA